ATTTCGACTGATAACCAACTGAGCTAACTTAGTCAAGCTTACCGTCTGAATTGAATGTTTGATCGTTTCATGGCAATTTGCGAAAGCATTATAAAAACTACAATCAGAGCCACTACTGAAATTTAGGAAAATCTTTTGCAAGTTCATACATTGACATGAATGCTGCTGTCTAGACAGCGATTTTTTCAATAGGGTGAAAAAATTATGAATGAATTGTAAATCAATATAAAGACGATTTCGGGAGAGACATTTTATTCATTAATGTGGAAAAGCAAGCCAGCATTGTTTAGAAATATCTTAGCTTAAATTTACGTAAAAAATCGTAGTTAATTTGTGCGAGTATAGGATGCGATTTTTGACAATGTGGCTTATGGTAAGTAGATTGAAGCTTATAAAATTGTTTTTGCTGAAGGCTTCTAGCCACAAGTTCTATGGTGAGCATATAATGTCCAATTTAGAGATGCAAAGGAGTGTTGGTCTACTGCTCAAGCCAAATTGTTTTCCAGGCAGAACGAACATTTCATATAAAGTTAAAATGTGCTTCTATAGGCATGCTGATAATCCTTGATATTTGGCAAAACAGCCAAGTGCTTTTCATAATCACTAAGTAAAATTTTCTAATGATTATTTATATTCCTAAACAGGGATGGATCTAGGGTATATCAAATCATTCACGCAACTGATGTTTATAATTCAAAAATTATTCATCAAATTTAATGATTACAATTTTTTGTGATCATTAAATTCCCATTCTGTAATCGTTTGGATTTCATGGTGAAAATTCTCTTTTATATATGAAAACTTATATAAGCACCACCTTTGTAAACAGATTAGTATATTTTAACATATCTGGAATTATATTATTGGCTGATTGATAAGCAGGGTGGCTCGACTGGTTCGACCGATGAAGGAGTTCAAGAACGCTTATTTAAGCCATTTTTGGTCAATAGCCAGATCAGGGCTCATATAATTTTACGAAGATGTCAATCTCATGTGGCTTTTTATGCAATTCCTCTCAGGTGAAGCAAGTTAGCATTGGATTTATACCCAAAAATGTTAGCACAATATTTCTGGCAATAAAACGCAGGAATTGACCAAGTGACCATTTTACGCAAACTGTTATCGGTGGATAATTTCGCAAGTTTTATTGAAATCGCTCAAATATATGGTCAAAATAATCGCTGTATGTTCCTTTCTCATACAAACTTTGAATGGATAGATTTCGATATAATACAATGGCAAGAACTGCAAAAAATCTCAATTTTGTTACACAATCTATATGTCTTTTGCCGTGTTAACGCCGCCATATTGAATACTCGTGATGGCCCCACGCGCGCACATATAACATGTACATACGTTAGCAATCTAAGTTTAATATATCTATGGTAAACATGGAACAAACAAGTTGTCAAATGTACAAGTTTAAAAAACTTAAGTCGTTTTCTCTTTTTCTTTGTAGACTAAATTGAACTTTTGAGTTCAGTCTTTTTGCATAAATTTTCCTGAGAATTGTTTCGATTTTCGAATGAAGATAAGCCTCACTATCTTTAAGACAACTAACAATATTTAGAAGTTATCAATCTTTAACGACCGTGATTACGACAGTAAACATGTTGCTTGAGATTTTAAAGACCGTAGTGCATTCTGAGATAATAGTGTAATAGGTCGTGACTACATCCAAACAGTCTATTTGTAGACGTAATCATTTTTAATAGAATTGTAACACGTTTTGTTGAAAGCGTGTTGGATGAATTAAGTACATTTTAAATTAGTTAAGTACCATTACAAAGTGCTCAATTACATGCATGATGATTACAAAATGCTCAACAATTTAAAAGTTGGCGGGAACTCAGACATTTTTCCATATTGCCAAACATGGATTTATTGCATTTGCAAATTATTCTTTAAATAATTTCACTGGTCGTCAACCAATATTTCGTCAAATACCAGCCGCTGAGTGATTGCCTGTTTAAATGAAGTCATCGCATACGTTAGTAAGTGTTGTAAACCATCAAGTCAAGCATTTACAACAGTGCTCTTTGCACGAATGTTAAATGCTGTCTCAGGATTGGACATTGATGCCCTGTTGATGTTAAATTGTGATCGCAAAATAAAACAAATATGAAAGTTAATGATTCATTGATTAGTTTATTTTCATTTCTACAAGTTCTTTCTATCATGGTCTTCTATATTTTTCATTTGTTTGACAAGCTCATTATGGTTTGCATTTAATTACAATATGATTACTTACTCTGCTATATGCATGGTACAAAGGGCGTATCTAGGATTTTTCAAACATCAGTCATAAAATGTTTGAGGCGCTCCACATCTGGGGGGGTCTGAGGCATTCTCCCCTGAGAAATTTTGAATTTCAGAGCCTTGAAAATGCCATTTTCAGCGTTTTAGAGCAATAGAAAATGTATTTTGTGGGCAACGTTTTTCGGTAAAAACAACACATTTTGCTTACGTTTTTTCAAATGATACTTGGATGTTTTACCAAATATTTAGGCTCATTATCATGCCAAATATATGTAGTGAGCGTGGGATAATGCATTGACGACGCATTAACAGACTACTCATGGGTTCGAATCCCGTTGAGTCACCTGAGTGTGACTTCATAGCTCAGTTGGTCAGAGCACTGCACCGGCACCGCAGAGGTCATGGGTTCGAATCTCGTTGAGTCACCTGATTTTTTCAGGTTCCTGAGACGATTGCTTAAATTGTCCAGCAAAGTGCGAAGATCATATCTTCATTTTAATTGAAAACTATGAAGCAAGATTTATCGAGCAAAAAACAACGACACTTCGCAGTGGCGCCAATATTAACAGAATGTCCGTGTACGAAATATATAAGATAAAAATTTGCACTGCGTCCAAACTTGGCAAAACTGGGGTTGAAACCTTAATTTTGTCATCAATAATCATGACAATGTACAAGATTCGCCGAATACTTTCAAGATTCGGCTATAACTAGCACACAACACTGCAAAATATGGCTGAAAGCGGGTTTAGGGTGAAGGTATGCGAAATATATTAAATCGTATGCCAGCAAAAACAATGTCAAATGCTTGAAATAACAAATAATTGGAGTGAGTTGAGTGTGATTTTTCATCCTATATGATTTTTTCTTTGAAAATATGAAAATTCAATCCCTGCCAAGAATATTTGTTAATTTATGCAAAATTGGCATTTGACCATAGCGGGTGTATGGCAATTTTCTCTGTAAATATTAAACTTATGTAAGTTTTTTCTCACATGACCACCATTAAAAGTAAACCTTCTAAACACCTTAAACATTACAGAATTTTTATTGCTATTTTTTTCTGGAAGTTAGAGCTCTGTCGACCCTGACGTTTCAAGGGTGGTCTCAATTTCAGGACTTTCGTCCCGGATCGAGCAAGTGCACATATGCCATGTTGTTCGTCATGGTCATTTTACCCAAAAACAGTTAAGATAACTTGCGGTAAATTAAATGCATACAAACTCTTATACAGGTCTTAGACTAAAATGGTTTCACTGCATATGATAGTATGCTCAGAATATCCAAAATTCAACTCTTTGGGATTTTGAAACAATTTGGTATCAATAATCGGGTCTTTGAGTTTCAAAGAAACCTTGATAGATTTGATACATCATAACATTCATACACATAATAGTCCAGTAGCCCGAAAGGTATATCAGCCACCCATAAGAGAACTTCTTATTTGACGGTTTTGTTATCAATATGCAATCTCACAATGCTTTTATCAATTTGGGAAGTCTTCTGCAAGTTAAGTTATTCTTCCATCTCTTATGTCTCATTCTTAACAACAATGTCCAGTGAAGATGGATTAAACTTTGTCAATACATCACAGAATGACGATCTCCAAAAATATTCATAAAGTAATTGACAAAATTCGTTAACCAATTCCGACGTTCGTACTAAACGCTTCATTGTCTTTACATTACTTACAATTTACAAGAAAGTCGTAATTATATTTGGTCGAATAAGTCAAAATTTGTCAAAATGGTCATATTTACTGATAGAAAACGACATGTTCCTGTCAGTTACCATGTAATAAACTTTTTATACTTGACAGGGGTAGTAATTAACACAAGAAAGGATAGCGTATTTAGAGCTAAATATTTTGCAATCCAGGATAAGTCAAAAAAATCCCCACGACAAAGTTGAAGAAAAATACTCACTTTATCATATGCAAACGTTATTTTTTCAAAAAAATCAATAACGAATGGCAGCAATTTCGTTGAACAAAGTGCTTCGTTTGTTAAGTTCTAGCCTATTAACGCATTCTGATTGGTTAATAGCACAAAAATGTCAACAAAAGCGCTGATTGGACTTTGTCGTTTGTAAGATGCCGGTAATTGTTGTGATCTATTTAACAAATAAACAGTTATAGATACACGGGTATGACGTCAATTGTGATAAAAACTAAAAAAGTGGCCACGAGCCGCCGGGTGAGAAATGTACATCAATGTTATTTGCTTGTGAAAATCTTAATCTTGCTTCGCAACTCTCTTCGTTTTTGTTTTGAGATTATGACCTTTGGGGAAAAAAATCCCAGTGTTCACAAACTTTAGGACCGATAAGTTCTTCACCCTTGTACTGCCGGCTATCCATCCAATAAGCGCACTTTGTGTTTTTGAGCTTTTGAATCATGTGTTACGATCTGAGGTGATAGTTCTAACCAAATCAGCGAGTTAGCTCGTGACGTCAAAGACCTGGAGTCGCGGATACTGCTCCATCTTCATCTAATCACCTGTTATCTCCGCGAATATCGCCTTGGTCGCTTCTGGACGCCATGCAATGCATTTTTTAGAATTTGGTAGCAGGCAGATCTTCGCCTTTTCTACAATATGATTGGCTCAAGAAGCAGGGAAATTTTACGGTATTCGACCGCCATCCAGAGAGTTGTTTCGTAAAACAAAATGAATAGCAAAATTTTGATTGTATACTTTTCCTCCATTTTGAATGTGATAGCTCAATCTAATCAGACTGCTTTCTTTAGCAAAAAATAAACATGTTATTTACCGTTTAAGTCAGTCCGGATATAAACATTTTTGAGTCCTCTGCTGACGTATGAAAAATGTTTCACAAAAGCACAATTCATTGCTGTTAGTATTAGTATCATAATTACAAATGAACAAACAAATAGGGAAACGCTACATCCACGGGTAAATTTTTTGCACAATTTGTTCAGCAAAAACATTCGTAGTGAAAACCACAATGGCGTAAAACCAATGTTTCACAAAAGCACCATGCAGTAAAGTTGACATTAACGAAAAGCAATGGTCAAAAAATAAAAAATAATTTGCTTCGTTGGCTGCACGCAAACTTGCACCTACGCAGTCAAAAATCACACTCATGCAGTCAAAATTCGCACTCATGCACACAAATTTGCAATCATGCACACAAAATTTGCACTCATGCACACAAAATTTGCACTCATACAGTCATAAATTGCACACATGCAGTCAAATCTTGCACACGTGCAGTCAAATCTTGCACACGTGCAGTCAAATCTTGCACACGTGCAGTCAAATCTTGCAAACGTGCAGTCAAATCTTGCAAACGTGCAGTCAAATCTTACACACGTGCAGTCAAATCTTGCACACGTGTAGGCAAATCTTGAACACGTGTAGTCAAATCTTGCACACGTGCAGTCAAGTCTTGCCACGTGCAGTCAATCGGGTCAATGCATTAGCCGAGTCTAACTTAAGCATTATGACCATGAAAAAATTCACTCAGCAAAAAATATGAAACATTAGCAAATTGTTACACGATAAAAGTTTCCTTTTTTTGAAAGTCGTCCGATGACCCTCCAGAACGTGATTCACTTTCAGCGCCCGCGCTGCAAGCAATGTCTTTATCCAGAGGTGTTCCAGGAAGACGTATAGTAAGATTTGTGGCCACGTTCATAGGAAATGCATGGATCGAATGGGGACCATCATGACCGGGGATGGTAGGTGAAGAGAGTTCGTAGGGGGATGGCGACAAAACATGAGTGGTTGTGACGTCAATCTCAGGAATTTCATCTGCAACATAAAAACGATGGCATAATATTTTCATTTTTATGGATATTATTTTGTTGCTGATATATACCAAAACACAATCCGTTCTTTTTTTCCTTAAAACGTTTAGATGAAGAAAAATACAAATGTTATAGCTGAGTAACAAATCAAACTTACATTATTTGTATGACACGCGTTCTGATTGGTCAAAACTTGTGTTTGTATTAAGTAATCGAAAAACAGAAATATAAATTGTCGTTGCTAAAAGCATTACAACTAGGAAGTTCTTAGTCCTAATATTTACGACATTACCGTGTCGTAGTTATTTCATAAAACAATTACTTCTCCCTTTCAAGTGGCTGAAAAGCACGTAATGTAAACATTTGGGAAGGTTGCTCAAGATATATAAGTAAGAAAAATCAATCCCCTTTGGCTCACGCTTCGCGCGCTATAGAGCAACATTCTCTAAGCAGTATTCCATCAAGTCGTTTACAAACAGAAAATCTTGAATAAATTTACGTCGCAAAATTGATTGAAACAAATTCAATAGGTGAGATTATTTACTTTGAAAATCTAGAACTACCTCATTTTAAAGTATTTTAAATCAACATTCAGGCATTCAAACCATCAAACGTTAACCAATCGTAAATAATTCACCGACAAAACAAACCTTCGCTTTCTTGAGTTGCCCTATGTTCATCTTCCAGTCTGTCCATTCCAAGGTTATCTTGTCCAACCTCAACACCATCATCGACACTATTTAAAAACCCACATGTCTGTTAATCGTGAGCCCGCAGCTAACCGTGGATTGAGTGAGACTAATCTCGAAAAAAGACTGGATCAAGCAACAGTATATTTGTAGTAAATAAATTTTTTAAGGCATCGCCACAGTTACTAAGGGACCAACACATTGAAAACTATGGAAAACATAGCCAACTTATGCTTTAAGATAACGCAGAAGATGAAAAACAACCTTTGTAGCGATAGTAAAGCGACTCAGAAAGAATAATCGGCCGTATAAAACAAAACCCATACAGGTTTCACTCCGAATCACTCGTAAAAAAGGCTTGTAGTTTTAAAGGATTGATAAGTTTGTGATCGTAAATGAAATTACTTAATCAGTTTGTAATTCTGAACTACGATTCCAACAATTCTAGGTGTTTCCATGCAGTTGTGGGCTATTTTTTATAGTTTTTCCACAGTAGAGTTACCGACGACAAAAAACGCGGCATTTTGATCATATTTCATCGTATTTTAGCTCTTCTATAAACTGATTTCTCTCTTAGTTATGTTCATGTAGTTACATGTTGAAAATTCTTGATTATTCTCGTATAAATCCACAATATATTTGCTGCTAGATGCTTGATCCAGTCTTATTTCGAGATCAGTGGGTGAAACGGAAAAGGATTTGAGAGATTAAAAAGAGTTGCAAATTTAGGCGGGAAAATTTCAAAATTTCTCAAATGCTTTGAAGTGCCTATATCATGTTTTTGAAGTCAGGTTTTTTATATAGTCAAAAAATTTTTATTTTCGTGGATTTTTTCTCCCTCAAAGTTGATATTTTTTGCTTGGCCGTGAGGACAAAAAACTAGGACGAGAGTCCCGATCTAACGTCAAATCGGTAACACGCTTTTAGAAAACACTATAACAGCATAGTTATTTTGTGGCTTTTCACATCGCATTTTGTTTTCATTTGCTTATATATTATAAAACAATGTTAAAAAAAATCTATTCGTATAGGCCATACACTAAAATCACCAACTTAGAGGACCAAAAAACCCACAAAGTTCAAATTTTTTAATTACAAAATATATTGCAAAAGTGTTTAAAATCGTCAAAACTATCGGAGTAACCTGGATCCAAAAACCTGATATAGACATTTAATGCAATTCCTGAATTCTACATGTGGTAAACTGCAGCAAATTAATTGTTGCAAATTTTCAAATTGTAGCTATACAGTTTGTATCAAAAACTTGATCTTCAGAAATCAACTTATTGTTATGATTTCAATGCACCATCATTTACTAAGCCTATGGATGATGCATGGGTAAAGTATTATCAGCTAAGTTCATATAGCTATTACATATTTATATTTGATATAAACATTTAAGTCTTTCTGCTCATTTGAATTTAACACAACTTCCAAAAGGAAAATCTACAAAAATATTGCAGCCAAAAGCACGCATATCAAACTGGCATTGAAATTTGGCTTATTTTATAGTTCCCCTTTTTGGTATATTTACCACCTCCAAATGTGAAAATGCTCCAAAAATCGAATAGCGTCATGAAGGAGTCTCGACTAACAAAGCTTATGTAGATAGCTGTTAAAATACAGCAAAGAAATCTAACACAGCATCTCGACATTCAATAAAAATTCTGCAAAAGATATAATCACGATGTACCTTTCCTCCACCTCAACGACGTGCGATTTTGATGAGCCAACTCTGGCAGAGCTTTGACTAGAGCTGCGAATAGAAGATCTGCTGGTAATATCTGAAGGCTCGCTTGTCACGTCACTGCGTTCATGTTTGTAAGAACCGCGGGATCCACGTGAGAATCTCGATGATGAGCGACGTAAAGTCTTCTCGCTGTTGGTCGTTGTAAACTGCGATGGTTTAGGAGTTGCTGGTCGACTTCGAGACTTTGCAAAACGAGCACTTACTCTACGTACGATCTCGCGAGCACCTTTAAAAGAAACAGATTGTTCACATGGGCTACTTTTTAATTTTTATAAAATAAACACAATGAAACGCCTTGGCGCTGATTGGTCTAGAGCTGTGTTTGCATTAACCAGTGCATAACGATCTGAGCTAAACCAATCATATCAATCAATCAATCAATCAAAGAGAATTTGCAAGTGAGTCATGAATACACGTTAGGAAAATATTAAAACACTTGTATTAATTATTCCTGTTTTGCATTACTGTTATTTTATAAAAGAAATAAAAGATGTTTTTTTGAGTTTGCACTGGCTTATGCAAACCTCGGAGATGTTTGAGAGAACTCTCGAGCATATGCAACCTTCGACCTTTGGTCTCAGGCTTACAGTGATCTGCTCTTGAGTTCTCCAAAAGTTTCCCGGTTGGCATAAGCTTGTGCAAACACAGTAAACATCTTTTATTTCTTAATTGAAACGACTTAAGAGTACGCACATTCGTTAGGTATAAAGAATGCGACTCACTTTCGCGTTTCCCGACAGAAAACGCATTTAATGCATCGAACAAATCCACCTTTTCGTAACCATGATAAGGACTGTGGGATTTTGACTGAAAATGACAGTAAAAAAACATCAATTTTGACATGCGCAACGGAAATAATGTCGTGTGCAATAAATACCAAAATTAATACCAAAGACTAAACCAAACATTTAATCTTACATTACTAGGCAAAGAAAAACATATTTGTTAGAGTAAGTAGGCATCAGGTATTCTACAACACGGAATTGTTTCTCGTAAATCCGTTACAACAGTGTCCCCCCCCCCTACCCTCCCCACGCCAAAGAAAAAATAGCATGGACATCACATGAGTAGTAGAACGTCGTGACCTTGACGTGCGTAGCCCACAAACATTAAGGCTTTGATATGAAATCTTCGACGTCACATGAAATCACATGAAACTGCAAAAAGAACATTTAAGGGAAGCCTGGGTTTGAACAACTTACATTGACATTTGTTCTTTGATATGCACATAACTGTAGAAGTGCGTGGAAAGCTAAATAAAAAAGTTATTGTGAGATTCCTTATGGAAATCAATCTTGAAATAGTTCAAAACAAACGTTAACTTTAACTTTACAAAACAGCCACGAAATCAACTAGGATGTACAATGTTTATTTCGACAAATTAACACAGATAACGACTGTTATGCAGACAAATAAAATTCACAAGAAAAAGGGCGTGACGATAAAAATATGTTGCCAAAAAAGGTGAGAGAGATGTCGGATACGCAAAAAAGAAACGGCTCATAACATGAAAGACATAAGAGAAACAAAATAAATAAAAATCTGTCCAGGGTTGTGAAAAAAATCTTATATTACATTTTTCTACTGTTCAGGGTTGTTAAAAAGTCATATATTTTTTTACTTACGGACTCGGCAAATAGGACAGAAATTGGAGCCGCTACGCAAACTGGAAGCTACAAAAGTAAAAAAAAACAAACCGTAAAACGTGGTGTAAGCAGCTGCATCATAACTGAAACACGGAAGTTTATGATATAACACAAAACAAAGTTTAATTCTACATCTTAGTTAAGATTGTGGTAAAGTTAAATTGGCTAGTACTGCCTGCCTAAGCTTCCAAACGATCACGACTTTGTGAGTGACAGTCAGGAAGAAGTACAACAAGTCCTATTTTTCAAACAATGAATAAGGCATACCACAATCACTGCAGACGCAGAGATGCCTGCAAGGCAACATCAGCGTATCACGTGTTTCACTCATGCACACCACGCAAACAACATTCTCATCCGCATATTCATCATAATCAACGTCGCATACGTCAGTGGATTTATTCTAAAGAAGAAATTCAATTAAAGTTCAGCGATATGGAAACACTTGGAGAAGGTACATATGTATAAATACAGTTCACAGTAGGGAGTAATTGGGAGAGGGTACTTAAGACTGCAGTCAGAGTTAACGAGACTATAGTGAGAATATGTAAGACTACAGTCATAGTTAAGGAGACATTAGAGAGAATATGTAAGACAACAGTCATAGTTAAGGAGACCTTAGAGAGGATATGTAAGACTACACTCATAGTTAAGGAGACCTTAGAGAGGATATGTAAGACTTCAGTCATAGTTAAGGAGACCTTAGAGAGGAAATGTAAGACTACAGTCATAGTTAAGGAGACCTTAGAGAGGAGATGTAAGACTTCAGTCATAGTTAAGGAGACCTTAGAGAGGATATGTAAGACTTCAGTCATAGTTAAGGAGACCTTAGAGAGGATATGTAAGACTACAGTCATAGTTAAGGAGACCTTAGAGAGGAGATGTAAGACTACAGTCATCGTTAAGGAGACATCAGAGAGGAGATGTAAGACTACAGTCATAGTTAAGGAGACATTAGAGAGGAGATGTAAGACTACAGTCTTAGTTAAGGAGACCTTAGAGAGGAGATGTAAGACTACAGTCATAGTTAAGGAGACCTTAGAGAGGAGATGTAAGACTACAGTAATCGTTAAGGAGACCTTAGAGAGGAGATGTAAGACTACAGTCATAGTTAAGGAGATATCAGTGAGGAGATGTAAGACTACAGTCATCGTTAAGGAGACATCAGAGAGGAGATGTAAGACTACAGTCATAGTTAAGGAGACATTAGAGAGGATATGTAAGACTACAGTCATAGTTAAAGAGACAGAGAGGATATGTAAGACTACAGTCATAGTTAAGGAGACATTAGAGAAGATATGTCAGACTACAGTCATAATTAAAGAGACAGAGAGGATATTTAAGACTACAGTCATAGTTAAAGAGACAGAGAGGATATGTAAGACTACAGTCATAGTTAAGGAGACATCAGTGAGGAGATGTAAGACTACAGTCATAGTTAAGGAGACATCAGTGAGGAGATGTAAGACTACAGTCATAGTTAAGGAGACCTTAGAGAGGAGATGTAAGACTACAGTCATAGTTAAGGAGACCTTAGAGAGGAGATGTAAGACTACAGTCATAGTTAAGGAGACAGAGAGGATATGTAAGACTACAGTCATAGTTAAAGAGACAGAGAGGATATGTAAGACTACAGTCATAGTTAAGGAGATATCAGTGAGGAGATGTAAGACTACAGTCAGTGATGTGGAGGTATGCGAATAGAGTATGTATGTAAAACTAAAGTCTTGACTAATTTCGAAATCCCAAAATTACTAGTTATTACACACCTCGTTCGTCTCGTATTTGCTTTCAAGTCCGTAAATATCATGAAGTAAATAACACAATCCATCAACCTGTTGAATAAAAATGATCAAACATTGAGTATAGCATGACGAAATAGTATAGGGAGGAATTATGAACATTTATCATATGGCAAGCGTCATTTCTGGAAAAATGGCTCGTTTTGATTCGCACGGAAACATTTTCGCCCGTTCTTTGTTTTCCGATAATGGACAACGGACTAATACACGTAATACGCAAACAAACTTCGTAAATCAAACAGCAAAACGGGGTGGGAGGGGTGGGAATTGAAACAAAAAACCATTTACAAATGTGAGTCGAAGGAAAAACAATTGGAAAACAGTTTAACTATACAGACGACACAATTTCGAACGATTTATTTTTTACTGACACAAACTAGAGATATGAAAGCTAACCGTTGAAAATCAGCAAAGACGAGAAAGAAAGAAAGATTGCTTTCAGGTAAATTATGCCATACAATAATCCTTTTAATAACATCACTTTCTCGGTTTTTACTGAGAAATATGAGACCTCTGTCTTTTTACAAACCTTGCCCTACGGTAATTTATTAGCTAAGTATTTTGTAAAAAATCATGAAATCATTGTTCTATTAAGGCTAGATACGTTGGCTAGATACGTTTTTCCACTGATACGTTGGAAATCACGCCTAAATTTAATATCGAAATTAAAAATCTTTGTGAAAAGGGGCACTTTAAATAGTTCCGAAGTTTGATAGCAACACAATTTACAAACATTGACGTGGCAGCCCGCACGTTTGGTCGTGGCAGCCCGCACGTCTGGTCGTGGCAGCCCGCACGTTTGGTCGTGCCAGCCCGCACGTTTGGTCGTGCCAGCCTGCACCTTTGGTCGTGCCAGCCCGCACGTTTGGTCGTGCCAGCCTGCACGTTTAGTCATGCCATGTAAATTTCATATTATTTGCATTTATTTTTTCGAAACTATACGTAGTTTTTGCAAAAAATTAACAACAAAAAATTTCTATATAAAGCTGCTCCATACGCGAGGCTGTACGTGGTTGAAATCCACTTACCATTTGTTTTTGCTTGAGTAACTTAATGGTAAATGTTCCATCTGAAAGCTATAGAAAAAAAGATGTGACACGAGAATGACAATATATAAGCGAATATATCATTTATAAAATAACATGTAGAAAACGCGTTTTTGATTGGTCAAAACCCATATTTGGATCGAGCCAGCTAAACATGAAAGCTTAAAATGCTTTCAGTTTCTTGGAAAAATTGGCTTTAACATTCACGCTCAACTTGAAACAATATTAGTGAATATTGTAAAACAATTACTTTGTTTTAACTGTTTAAAACACGCTTTACGTCTATATTAGGTAAGTGAGTCCGCGCCTTTTTTTGACCACTTTACACATATGGCCCCACCCCCAGCTCCACTTAAAACAGGATTTAAACTTCTCAGATCGAAAGGAAAAAAGCTTCGAACTACACAGGAAGTGTACAGAAAAAGTCAAAGAAATTTTTCCCCTTATTTCTATAGTATATGTTCATGAGAGTCACTCACAAACAATAAATATTCATGCATTAAAAAAACACGAGAGACGTATAGTTATTAGAAAGTCACAATGGATTTTATCAAGTCGTATCAATAAAGAGCACAGTTCTTTTCCATAAACCATAAAACTTGTATAGACAATATACCCAGAAAAAAGAAGAATTGCCATTGTGCGAAAAAACTTCCTTTCACCCGCAGCAAGTCACTCGGATATATAATCACTCCAGGTAATATTCAGTCAGTGTTTCAAGAAAAAGAAATGATAAGTTGTATACAAACCTTTTCAATGTTTGCCAAGGTGATATTGGAGTGTCCAGCATATTCTAAACAAAGATAAGAAACATCGATGAACAAAGTATTCGGTAGTTTGAGATAGCCGATAATTAGCATTAAAGAAACATTAATGCCAAATATAAAACTTTCAGAACATAAAATGCAGTGACAACGACAGCTAAACAATTGCAAAACATAGGAGAGAGAATATTTATACAAGAATGCTACAGTTCCTTAAAAACTTGTTTAACCTCCCCCTCCTCCCCATGTCAATTATCAATCAAGACTGTTATGCCATTGTAAGAAACATAAAACAGGCTGAAGTAAGTCAAATACACGAATATACATTACATGGTTTTACCTGCATGCCTTTAGAAAACTAAACTTATGTAATGGAATTCTGACTTAAATACGAAAATTCCGAAATAAAAACATTGTATTGTATAATACTTTTAGTAATAGCAACAACAAAAACAATTTAGTACGGCTGAAAAGATTCAGATTTCACAATTTATAGAAGGGAAATCAACAATAGATGCCATAAAGCATGCACCACGAATGATCGAAAATTGAGGAGGCGCATTTATCAATAATCACAATAGATTTCAATAGAAAATCATGACGTAAAAAATGCATACTAGAGCATACTCCCTCCCTCTTTACTCCAACCCCCCCCCCTCCTCACCCCAATCATCAATTATTCGCGGCCACTGTGAAGGCAAATTTACACGTTAATAAGATTTTGCAGTAAACTGTTTCTGTGGAGATTGAGTCACATCCCCAAAAACGAGCACTTACCATCTTCTGTCGCAGTGATGTGGATTACAACGGGAATGTGATTGGATGTTTCAGAATATATCAACTAAGAGAAAGAGGATTGGTAACGAGTTATTTATAAAAAGTCAAAAAATTTATGAGCAGAACGTCGGAGAGTTGTGAAACAAAAGAAAGAATACTGAATTATTTATAAAAAATAACTAAAACTATATGTAAATACAGAAAATCGGATAATTGAAGACAAAAAACACTAAGATATTGGGTATGAAACCAGAAAGGAATTAAATAGGACAAAATTTTTGATACAACAGGACGGAGAATTAAACTAAACAGTGACAAGAAGGACAATAACAAACGACATAAAACGACAATGATGTGAACTGAAACAAAAATTATTGAAAAAAAATAAAGATACATATTGCTTTTATCAATATTTGCCAGTTTGTTAAAATTCAAATGCTACCTCTGATTCTTTAAAATCACTGGGTTTGATCAAATGAAGCTTTCCATGCTTACAAAACGTCTGTTTGGGTCCCTTGTCAAATTGAAATGCACGTGACGTCAGCAAACTGTCATTCGTTTTGTAACTAATTAAGGAAGAAAATCCATAAGTGAACTACATATCTACAAACCAAACAAGTTACAATTGTATTTTACTTCCTAAGTACGTAAAAAGCAAGCTCTCACACGTAACAAATCTTAAAATTATTAACGCCACTGAGCCGTACATTTCATAGAACAAAAGGAAAAGTGCAGCTAATTGGGATAGTTTGGTGAAAGATTATAGCTTCAGTATGAGAGCAAAATATCTATCGGTAACCAAGGAAAATTAGTTTGAATGATTCAATATATCCGTATGGAAGAGCAGTTATTGCAGACGACAGTTCAAGGTGTTTTGAGGTTTGAAATGATCGCTGAAAATCGAAAACGTAACTTAAAATGCGCATTCATGAATCCTGATTGGAGTTCAACGGTTTTTTGATGAGTGAAAACAAGTTTAAACTGTGCATGCTGTACATACAAGTGAATAGTAGCGATCTTGCGGTGACCACAAGTACTGTAGGCACGCCTGACAATAAATGGCGGGAACGTGAAATTCAAAGACAATTTTCTCAACTCTTTACGTTTCTCTTAAATTAACTTAAAAAGAAAACTATTTGCGAAAATTCCAGAATCACAGCGTGAACTAGGTTTTTATTGAAGTTAAATTTGCTGCCAATTCCGTTTTTATTTAGTGAGTCTAGAGCGCATCAAAACCTGAGCAAAATAAGAAATAACTCACACGGCATGCCCAGAGGATAGATCCTCAAATGCAAGATAATGAATTGTGACAGAACATTTTACATCTGCATCAAAAGTGAAGTCAATGTAATAGGTTGGAGTAGAACTTTCGTCTTCTTTTCCTGTTGATTCACTGATGTGTCTAAAAAATCAATAATATTCCATCTTTAAGACCACGTAAACACTACGCCAGAGTAAAAAAGTGACGGTCGAATTTGACTGCGTTTACACTGATCTGTTTGAATTCCACTGCAGTTTTACAAGTGTTTACACATAATGTCTCTCGCTGTCAAAATTCGTTAGTTGTTTGTGAAAGATGGCGCCATTTCTTATTTGCATATTGCTAGATGTTTATATCGCTAGCCATAGGTCATAAAAAAATGATTTGTAATAATTAGAACGAAATCAGTCATTAAAAGCTTTTTAAAACGTGAAAATGTTCACCATTTTCAATTGTGCACCACAACAAGGGACAAATTAAAGAGAACTCGTATCTAAAGTGTAGCGAAATGTTAACGGTTTTCTGTTTACATGACAATGCGTAGCATTCCGTTTTCGTTCGACCACGTTTAGAAAGTGTAGTCGTATCGCTCCGAGAAAAGTGACGTTTTTCAAACAATTCTGCTTCGGTGAAGTATAAACGCAACCCGGTTCTGTTACTTTTTTGCATCGTTTTCAGAACAATCCGGAGTAGTGTAAACGTAATCTTAAAAATCTATTTAAAAGACACAGGGGCTGTTACATGAACCCGGCTAACCAGGATTCGGTGACGCGTTAAAAGATTCCGAGGCATTGAAAGGGGGCAGAACTTTAAGCTTAAAAATTAAAACTGTTTGCAAAGCGTCACAGGTCATTCCTGTGGTAAATCTGAATACGGCCAAACTGGTAGTTTCAATGTCTTGAGTAGTTATTAAATCAGAATATTGTGAAATTGGTTAAGAAGATTTATCTGATCGTGAGTATTGAATCGTTTCCATTTGCCAAAATCATTTAACGCTTCCCTGAATCTCGGCTACCCTGACTACAAATATTTTTTTGATAATGAACAAGTTATCAGTCGCAGTTACTTCTTATTCGGAGTTGCCTTTGCATGCAGGTCATTCACAAGTAACGTTTTTCCTCAAAACTTTGGGTCCTTTTTTCAGCAGAGTGGCCGTAAGTTTGGTTATGGGGAAATGTCACCTCTCTACCCAGACTCCCCCATGACAACTCTAGAAAACAACAGTAGTTGTGGGGAAATGTCACCTCTCTCTCCAGACTCCCTCATGACAACTCTAAACAACAGCAGTTCTGGGGAAATGTCTCCTCTCTCCCTAGACTCCCACATGACAACTCAGACAACAACAGCAGTTTGGGGAAATGTCACTATTCACCCTCTTGCTTCAAAATCATTGACACTGCCGACACCTCATTCTCCCTTAAAATCAAAGAAGCACTCCACATCAAAAAAACTAAACCTGACCTCAATGTTTAAGTTTTTAAATTCAATACAATGTTTAGTTTATAATACGCTCGGACGCTCCCCCTTAATTTTATTCCTTTTTATAGTTGTCATTTACGTATCATATTACTTTTATATAAACCTTGTATCATTTATTATTTCACTTATACTGAAGATGGCATCATGAGATGTGGAAACATGTCTATTTTAAAAAAACTTGTCACGTATATTAAATGCGCAAAACGAAGCATATCACACAAGCTTCATTAGTTAAGAAAATATTTATTCAAAATTTAAAGGTTAAATTTCAACCAAGAGTAATATCATAACAAAATCACAATTAGTCTGTTCAGTTTTCTCAATGTGAGTGGTGAAATTGGCTTTCTTAAGTGTCTCTGCGGACCGGATTGAGAGTCCCAACGGGACGCATCTGGCCCGCGGGCCGTATTTGGAGACCCCTGCTCTAGACAACAACAGCAGTTCTGGGGAAATGTCACCTCTCTCCCTAGATTCCCACATGAGAACTCTAAACAACAACAGCAGTTTGGGGAAATGTCACCTCTCTCCCTAGATTCCCACATGAGAACTCTAAACAACAACAGCAGTTCTGGGGAAATGTCACCTCTCTCCGTAGATTCCCACATGAGAACTCTAGACAACAATAGCAGTTTGGAGAAATGTCACCTCTCTGCCCAGACTCCCACATGAGAACTCTAAACAGCAACAGCAGTTCTGGGGAAATGTCACCTCTCTCCCTAGATTCCCACATGAGAACTCTAGACAACAACAGCAGTTTGGGGAAATGTCACCTCTCTCCCCAGACTCCCACATGACAACTCTAAACAACAACAGTAGTTCTGAGGAAATGTCACCTCTCTCCCCAGACTCCTACAAGACAACTCTAGACAACAGCAGTTCTGGGGAAATGTCACCTCTGACAACTCAGAACAGACAGACAACTCTAGACAGCAACAGCAGTTCTGGGGAAATGTCACCTCTCTCCCTAGATTCCCACATGAGAACTCTAGACAACAACAGCAGTTTGGGGAAATGTCACCTCTCTCCCCAGACTCCCACAAGACAACTCTAGACAGCAACAGCAGTTCTGGGGAAATCTCAGACTCCCACATGACAACTCTAGACAACCAGCAGACTCTCTCCCCAGACAAGACAACTCTAGACAGCAACAGCAGTTCTGGGGAAATGTCACCTCTCTCCCCAGACTCCCACAAGACAACTCTAGACAACAACAGCAGTTCTGGGGAAATGTCACCTCTCTCCCCAGACTCCCACATGACAACTCTAGACAACAACAGCAGTTTGGGGAAATGTTTCCTCCTTACTCCAACTCCCATGTGACAACTCTAGACAACAACAGCAGTTCCAACTCTCCATGACTGACAACTTAGAAACAACAGCAGTAAATGTTTCACTCCAACTCCCATGTGACAACTTCAAATACATACTTCACAAGCCTTAAAGAATCTTTACGTAAATTCAACAAGCTCCGCAGCATTTTGGTAGGTTCGGACTTTGATGGTTCTGGATATGGAAACTAAAAAAATTGCGAAAAAAGGCAAAATAAAAGTATTGCAACAACATTCATAAATAACAGCATTCATAAATTTCAAATGAAAAACATAACAGTATCCTTCTGACGCTATCAATTTACAACACAATACAAAATGAAAAACCCCTTGATGATTCTCCTCTTGCAAATTTAAGACTTAAGTTATGATGGAAAACCAAACCACAATTTAGTTGGCTTTTTATTAAACTCAAATCTTAAGTTTGAAATTTGTAAATCTTCAAAGTTTGTTTGGTTGTAATACAAACAAAAAAGTTTGAACAAAATATGACTATCAATAGCAAAATAAATGTTTACACATTTTAATATGCTATGCTTCACATTCTTAAGATAAACGATTTGACACAATGGGGGGAGATTGTGTGGTTGTTTCTAGACAAATTTAGCAGCTGAGCATTAGGAAAACAACAACAAAGACTTTGTTCAAGTTGTCAAGGTAAGTGACATACAAACAATAAAAAAGTCTGCCCACAGAGTAATTAAAGAAAAACATTGTGTCAAACTATAGATGTAAATTTCAGTAGTTAAACATCATAGTGGTTGAAATCAAATAAACCATTGTCCTACGGACAAAACGAAACAACAACTCGTTGATGCGGCAACTTGACAGATACAGCTGCAAAACAATATGCATTTTCATTTAAAGCAAGTCTTCCTTGTCTTTCATCAAACTAATTTTCTTCATTCTCTTAAACAAATAATGAAAACGAAATTGCCTGATTCCAAAGTTGATAATTAAACAAGCTTTTCGTCATTTCTTTAGTTAAACAGCTCCTACTGTATGATTGATATCTATTTATTATGTAACAAATAATTGTTTATACCGAAGCTGGTTTTGACGGTAGAAAGTTCAAGTCACTGTTATCGCCAAACAGAAAGCATTCGGGCTGAGTTCCCGTGAACATCTGATCACCCATGATGAAATGACTTGAGAAATAATTCCCTAAAGAGGACAATGTTTGAAACATCATATAAAGTCAGAGACTTTAAAATTTAAAGAGCAATTCTTCTTACCGGATTTCGCTGGATATCTGTAACTCATGAAAGACATATTAAAATTTTCTACCTCTCCATCTTGTCGGCTATAAAGTATACCCATTTTTAAGACTCAAACAGGAAAGAATTGTAACAGAAAGCAGCCACAACAAGAATAACTTTAAAACTGCGCCATGTCAACTATCAACTAATTGTAAGATTGCCTGTAATTTCCTATACGTCAAAATGACATGACGAATTCGTCTATTATCTAATTACGTAATGCGTTAAACAATCGGCTAAACTAACACCAATGTTATGCAACTGGCTAAAACGGCAAAAAGGTTCAATTTTTAAATCACCATCTTTTGAAATGTGTGCTAAAAGAAAACGTGAATATTAAAACTTCTGAGATTCATTCTAAAGAAGACTTGCGTACCATATCCAACTGTCACCACACTGGCACTCCTCTTATCTATCTAAGTCTCAAATAAGAATTTTTTTTCAATTTCCAGCCATTACACTATATTAAATGGTCAGAGCAAAGTGAGGGAAGTGACAATCAGAATACAAAATTACTCTAATCAACAATCGATGACGAGTACCTTAGTATCTGTCTAACTACTACACTATTGTCACTTGTCACCTTCAAGAAGCGCTGTATCTAGACATGATTGCTTCTTACTTTTTGGAATTCGGCACTAGCTAAATGTTCTTAATTCAAACAATATAAAACAATGTAAAACCGTACGGTCTACTGTTTAAACGCACGATGCATAGAACTTATAAAGTAGTGGGTTTTCCCAGTTTGAACTTTAAACATTTACTCCCTATTGTTTACACTATGAAGTTACAAATAGAAGGCGGGAATTCTTAACTTATTGGAAGAAATTGATATTACCTAAAGGCCCGCAATTTTGTCTTAGCCCGCAGGCCCCGTAATTAGTAATCCACCACCACATTGTCCGTTACAGTCAATTGATATCTTGAATTGTAATTTTTAACGGTATCTAGGGAGACTGGAGTCGACTAGATGGGGATGGAGGATTTGCAGAATGATCAGTTTGACCCAGGTGTCTGGTTTGACCAACAGACAAATTGATATAAATAAATGCCGTTATATATTTGAGCACAAGAAGAAAGAGTAAAATTGAGCAAAAATGCTTCATATCTCGAATGCTTGTAAATTTCACAATCCAAATAAGCATATCGTGCAGGAGCCTTGTTTGGTCATGTCTACATTGATACGTGCATATTTGTCAAAGGTTAGAAAATGCAGTTTTGCTGATGCATTAAAATTCTGTTTAATTTTATCGACTTTTCAAAATACAAAAGTTTGTAAATACTCTTAACCAGTCTTTCTTAATACAGTTTTATTATTAGTGGCTGTGAGTAGATTGACGCCCGCGTCTAATCACTCTAGCGTGCGTGCACAATACCACATTGTAACAACGCATGCGCAACACACCACATATTTTGCACTGCGTCAAGATGGCAAAAAAAAGCCCAGCTTCAAGGTTCAATTACATAACAATAAGTCAAACGCTATACAAAAGGCAATTCACTGACAAAACCCCACGTCAAAACTGCAGAGGCTTAATTCAACGAGAATTTTAACGAGATCAATTCGACACATGTAAACGGAAAAACTAAATGAAAGGCAACTATCAAACTTAAATAGCTACGGTGAACTGCTGTTGAAAAAAATCTGAATTAATACATATTCCACCATCATTTTCAATAGGGAATACTTAGAAAACGCGAGGAGTTGACACTCGTTTCAACTTGAATTGAATCTCTGCATGCTTTGTGACGTGGACATCAAATGTCCTTTTTTAAGCGAACGGGAAAACTTGAGTGCCCCGACTGGCGGGAAAATTCAAGCGAGGCCAAGATATTCGGCACATCTTCGTACTCAGTGTCCAGTAGCGTTAGCCAGCCCGCAAGTTTTGGTCCTGCTGTGTAAATTTTAGGTCATTAACATTACTCATTTCTTTAGAAATCTTTTGTTTTTACACTGAGTGAAGACAGAAAAATTAACATAGTAGGACCAAACTTGCGGGCTGGCTACGCCACTGTCAGTGTCGCAATCAGCCGGCAAATTATTACTCTGCTTAGCAAATTCCCAACACGAAGTGAGCAACGACAAATTTGCAAAGCAAGACTAAATAAGCGGGCCGACCACGCTGCTACTGTACGGGTCAAGTAATGAAGAGCTGTCATAACAACATTCTATAACATTGTCACGAGAGTCAGTGAAAACGTCTTAAATATCCATTTAGGTGTTGAGTTCACTTCTTCTAAAGCAGATGAACCTATAAAGATTTTTATTTATAATCAACTTCGGTGATCATGTGATCAATAAGTGCTGGATGCATTTATGTCAGCGAAGTCTTTCCAGGAAACGATTTCACGGTCGAACGAGTTTTGAAATAGCTGGCATTCTGACGTATCGTTACAAATAATTCATAATTTCTTTCATTCTCTAAACTAAAGAAATAAAAGATATGTGTGATGAATGATTTGCAGAACTTTTGGATGACGTTACTAAAGGTTGAAATTTAGATTAAGTAAAAACTGATTATTATAAGCAATAACACATCTTAATGGAGAAACAGGGGCGTAGGAGGCCCCTGGATTCGTGAAAGGGGGGGGGGAGTCATTTAGAACAGGCAGAAAAACATCAACATACATAGCAGCCAAGTTGAATTTGTCACGAAAAAAGGGAGAATGGGATTACCCCCAGTACGCCACTCGGAAAATACAAATACCCAGTTTGCTTTCATACATTGTCGACTGGTCTCGGTTTTCGAAAAAAACTTGTCCAAAGAACAAAAGCCACTTACTATCATTATTCATATAATTTAGTTTATGTCATCTGGAGACTTTTGACTTGCCAGAGTTCGCACTGGATGCAGTGGTGTGACTACCCTGTGTCGTAAGACTAAGCTGTGAAAAGCCACTATGTGACGACTCAATACTAGACAGCGAGCCTCTAGATAATAAAATAGCGAAGGAACGAATAAAAACGATTTGCTCTTCCACACTCCCCATATATCGAAAATGCAAACGAACTCACTTGAAATGTTTACCAAGCAATACTTCATAAAAATACAATATCTTCGCCTTGCTTGGGGGTCTGGAACTGAGAGATGCCGAAAGCGGAATGGACTTCCATTGTAAGACGTAAACTCCAGCTTGAGTACATACGTGAGTACCCTGTAACATAAAAGATACACCATAAGTCAACACTTTTATTTGTAACGAAAATAATCATACAACGCAGAAAAAAATGGTTAGAAATGACCAAATCGATTTTGCAAAATCCCACAAACTAAAAGAGGACTAACTAAACAACGATATTTTTATAACTTTTAATTGCAAACATGTTTCAACTTGACTATAAGCCATCTTCAGTGCGAATAAAATAAATTATTTACAGTGTGTAATACATAAGATAGAAATATGACAAAAGTGAGGTATTACTGAGGTGAATATAATTATTTACAAATTGTTATGAATACAGTATGTGTGTAGTAGGTGAGTGAGAAAAGAAGGAATGTGAAGAGCAAAATTGTATAAAATGTTAGACTTGTTTGTTTAGGTTAGGTTTATGTTTTCGTATGTAAAGGGCTTCTTTGAGTTTAAGAGTGAATGGTGTGTTGGCGATGTTTAGCACTGTGAAACAAGAAATGCACTTCGATTTATTTAGTAGATTTTTGTAGATGTGTGAGTTTTTGTCCGCGGTGGTTTGTTCCTTGTGCTTTCACTTTTGTCTTATATATTCCACATTGCAAATAATTTATTTATTCGCACTGAAGATGGCTTACAATGAAGTCGAAACATGTTTGCAATTAAAAGTTTAGAAATATTATCGTCTATTTAAAATGTGTACTTTGTATTGTGCTGATAACATCATATTTACAAATTAAAAGGACGATTTGGTTTTAACTATAGCGGTTCAAATACCATGTGACAGCTAACCCACACCGTCAGCGTGACCATATATGCAATTTTTATCAGATTCGGTCGAATGAACTTAAACCCTCCCCCCGGTTCTGAAATTTGGAACTATATAAAGCAGGTGGGAGTGTCTAAGGTCATCAGACAAAATCTCGTAAAAAACTCCATATGGCCACACTGCACAACGTTTCTGTTTACCTGTATAGAATCGCCATCATGACAAATCTTTGGTCTCTCTACAACAACAGCATCCACGTTAGCTATGACTCCACAGGAAGGGGTTTCCCCAAGACTCGTCAAACTACCACTACAGGCTTCCTTTGGTCGTTTGTGACGAAATACTGTAAATAAGACGTCACTCTGGATGACGTCAAAGTCCCAGGTAATAACAGATTCAGGTTCCTTGACGGTGATAACGGTCTGAGATGAATGAAACATAAAAATGGATTAAGGCAAATTTGCAAAGTTTTATCACAAATTGTCGAATGGTTTTGGAGTGCCACAATATTCCTTCCATTTGATAAATCACCCATTCAACCTTAGTACCCCACAATTATCATCATTGATCCCAAAGTAACTTTTATAATCATAAATAATTCACAGTAATTCTCGCAATAAAGTTTCAATATCCACAATTACTCAGTCATTTGATAAATCGTCCATTCAACCTTAGTACCTCACAGATATTATCATGAAAGCACCTACTATCATCATAATTCTCAGCACACTAAAACAAAAAGGTTTTGGTATCTTCAATCTCTAGCGCAGCCAGCCTGCTTCTTTAGTCATGCAAAATATGTTACCTTTTTTGAGTTCACTCACAGTGAAAACAATTTCAGATTACAATTACAGATTTTCAATAACAAATTTCAAGGAAAGATGAATAGTGCTTTGATAACTGGAGGGGGGGAGGGGATAGAAAATTTTTAGGTGGCGCGCATCACTTTGCGCATTAAAGACCCCTGCTCCAGACAAAAAACTCTGGTAAGAAATCAAATAAGTCCAACCCACCAAACTGTGAATTATTCGCGTGTATCCATCTATATCCCTAAAGGATCAACAGCATACCTCAAGAGGTGATCCTTTGTTAACAATTGAGGAGTGGTAGATCTCTTGACCAAGACCGTCTCGTTCTACGAATTCCACTGAACGATATAAACTTTTAGGTACAAGTCCACCTTCTCCTATATCACACTAACAAGTAATAAACATTTTTACAATACGTCATCTAATAACTTTACAGCTTCCGGAAGTACGAGCAAAGTTCGGAACGCCTCCAAAAGTTGTCACCTACCATTGAACTAGAACCCAATCAACTAGATATCTGACTCCGCCAAAATTCTATAGTCACGAGTGAAGCAAGACGCCATCTTGAAAGGTGGCAAAACTGACGATATTAATGATTTATATCTGCTTTTCCTGAATTGATTTAGAGTAGCAAAGTTGATAGTGTAGGTTTCATTTATAAAACGTTTGATAGGACTTGTTTTTAAACTTTCTTTTAGCTTATTTTTCATTTTGAGTTTTGCTTTTTGCCACCTTTCAAGATGCCACCTTGCCTCACTTTGACACGACAGATAAACATCTAGGGATGTTGGTTCAAATCATTGTCTCCCACCCTCTCAAACACCAATTACCTACCCTTTCAACCACATATTATCCACCTTTCTATCTTATATCCCCCAGCCATACATTGTATGATTTGATATTGATTATACATAACCCAATATGGAACTTTTATTTACCATACTGAAGTAAATATAGTTAACATGAGTATACACGTAAATACTACCTCCCCCACCCCACCCCAGCATTACGGAGCTTATTAACCTCAACACTGAGATAGAATTCATTTCATAAACATAAACTTATAAAATAAAGCTCTCGTGAACAAAGCTAACAGTACCTCACATGGTCCGCCTAAAAATTTTGGTATATATTCCTCAGGGATGTAATCAGTAAGGCCACCGGGAGCCTACAAAAGACAATATACTAAATCAAGAAAAGCGTGGTGAAAACATGTTGTTTCAGAATACGAAAACTTTACCTGATAATCGTTTCCACTATAAATAAGAAATTTCTTTCTCGTATTTTCGTGTATGAAAGAACTGACAAGAGTCCACAAAACCCCGAATATTCTTGGAGCTCGAACAATAAGCAAGCGCCCCATGAGTTCTGGGTAATTTGCTTCTACCACTTCAATAACTCTTAACAAAGCTTTCACACCTAAATAAAACACACATATTGTTTGATGTGCAACCTACTTTTGAAGTACAATGTAGGATGTTTGTGTACAGCCTATTGTTTGATGTATAATGTAAGATGTTTGTGTACAATCTATTGTTTGATGTACAATGTAAGATGATTGTGTACAACCTAGAGATAACACACATACTCTTCTTTCATGTAAAATGTAAGATGCTTAAACTTAAAAGAAGCTTCATACAATAATGAGGTGAACAAAGTGTGTAACCTACTATATGATACTATAGTTGACAACATTTTATTTTTCTGATAATCCAAATAAGGTAAACTCCAGTGAAAGCTACAGTACTGTCAAGTGTCTACATTCTACTTCATTGAATAGTTCCGTGATTCTTAGATATTTATCAAAACAAGAAAACACCCGACCATCACTTCACATTTTTCATCCTAATACTTTCCCGTGAGGCAATATCACCTTGTATAGACCTTCACTAAAGGGAGAAAAGGGAGGGGGGAATTCTGCAAAAGGAAATGACTTAGTTGTCTCTAAATAACATTCGTCCCAGACCTTTCTAATGCAATAAAACCGCGCGGTATGCTGATTTACATGCAGAGGACTATACGTTTCGTTGAAAATCACCTGAGCAGAGTGAGCATTCCTTATACACGATATAACGAATGTATAACGTGTATGTGATAAGTAAAACAGATGAAAGTTGATTATCTACTGACTCACCTGGTCTCCATAGGTGACGCAAGCATAATCCTTCAAGATCACAAATACAAGTGAAGGAGCTAAGAAAACAACATGACAGTATACATAAAATTTTTTCTTATTTAATCATTCTCATTGATGTGGAATAGATTACAGCAACCTTATTGGCTATAGCAAAGAGAAAGAGGGATGTTTCTTACGATAACTTGCCTAATGATCATATTTCGGGGGATGAGAAATAACCCAAGATTCAACGAAACTAGTTTCAATGTGCAACAATAATAGTAATTTAGTGGAATTTAGCTACCGTAAATGCTTGTTTTAGCACCACAGCGCTTATTAAACTTCCCCAATTCTAAATGCGGTGCTCAAGAGGGAGCGGCGCTTAAGTGAGAGCGGCGCTAAACGAGTATTTAAGTTAATTAAAATTTATATATTTCCGACAAAAACTAAAATTACATAGATCGTTTAACACCAACCTTATCGGCGCTCCCTTTGCTTGTGTTACCTCATCAAACATTGCCATGGCTTGCTCGTTGATTGATAATACCTAAAAACGACATAAAAAGTAAATTTTCCTTTCCATAAAAGGTTTTGAGGAGTTTTAACAGAATGAGGTTAGATCCATTCATATCAATCACCAGCAAATATATGATAAAAATGTTCTTGATCAGGCGAGCAAAACAGGTTTGGTGAATACCTTTGTTCGGGCCATTCCGTAAGAAGGCAGGCAGGTGTACACCACCAAAGGCGCAAAAATGTTTTCAAAAGTGAGGGGAGGGTTGAATGGATATCTCAAGATGCAATAGTAGTTTTGGTAATGGGAAATCATAGATTTTCGAAAGGTTGGGAAGGGCATGTTTAGCTTCCTTCCCCAGAATTTCAGCCTCGGCGGCTACCACCACTTTGTCAATTGTAATGTTGATCCTCGGAAATGAATCAAAGCGAAGTTTTGCATAACCCAATTATGTTGGTCGGCAGGAGGGGGAAGCTCACTTTTAATGTAACTATTTGTAAAGCTATCATACGTTAAGGCAATCGAATCAAACAGACTTGAGCTAGGAGGGCCAAGTCTTTTGCCACTTTTTCAAAAGTCACAATTACGCCGGTTATAAAAGAAGATCTATGAGCAGAAGATTTCAAAATAGTACAATCACATGCAAATATCAGACAGAGGCGTAAAAAACTCGATAATTGGGGTACATATTCATACATACATGTATTGTCGTGTTAAATTCCTTTGTAATTATTATTCTCAACGAATTAAAACATGAATTCATGAATTTGCGTCCCACTCCCAATTAGCGAGTTTGGTACAACACTGTCGTAATAAGCAGCTTCTTTAGCTTGCTGTAACTCACATATTTCAAGAAACCATCTTCACCAACAGTTTTAAGAAGACCCTTCACATCCATACAGCCAAGACGAAGAATATACAACGGTCTTCCTTCTATATTTAATGAAAACACACGTGACGAAACGCAGTTATATGGAGAACCTGTTTATGTCTAGTGGAGCAATTAAGCTGAGTTAATCATAATATGGCGTTTTTCATCAGGTCTTGAAAATAGCAGCTTCACTCGAAGACTAAAGGTTTTCGACAATTTTATTGAATTTAAAATGTTTTATACAACCGTTACTATATTCAGAATACAACGATTTTTAAAACATGTGTTTCCCATCATTGTTCTTCCATTACTGATCTTTCTGAACATCGGGTAAATGACGCACAAAAACCTTGGTAGTTAAAATTTGCACGTTCAGCGAAAAAAAGTTTTACATGGTGTCTCAAAAAAAAAGAGCACAAAGATTCATACATGCATACAGACTTTATATTATTTTGATGAAACGCAAATCAGTTTCATGTATTGACAAAGCCATCATCTGCCATGGAAAAGAAATTAGGTCTGTCAACTAGGAACCACAGCCAAATGCTAAAAATTTTCTGTGAAATTTGATTGTTGAAATCACAAAAATAACAAAAATATGAATTGTGTTCAAAAGTTATTAATTGTTAACTATTAATTATGACGTTTAATAAACTGATTTAAAAGTGTTGTAATGGTTCCTGGAAAATTTTCTGCCAAACTCTCAACTCTATAAGATTTCTGGGAACTAAGTTCTTAAGTTCCGATACTTTTTCCACCCTGTCTGTCAATACGGAAAACTAAATCGATGTTTACACACAGTTTTCTGCGTCTTCAGTTCGCATATTCGTTTTTCGACACCCTGTATGGTATAAACTTGTGCTCCAAATGAACATTGATGAAACATGAGCAAAATTTGTTCTTTTCATTAATTTGGGAGAGAAAAAACACGTCATAGTTATTAACCTTTATCGTAATGATGCCATCCACCAGAATAATATTCCAACGCAGACTCAGGTGCACGCCATTCGGTCAAAATCTTGTCCACGTCATGATGTCTTCGCCATGCTAATGACAAACATAGCATCTCGTACGCCTGAACGAAAGCACAAAATAATAATTTGGCAATTAAGTAAGACACAAAAAAACATAAAATTGAATAGGTTTCACCCCTCCTGATTCACTATAAGCTACATAATTTTCAAGGAGGTTTAGTAATATATCAGTGAATTTCTTTTTCCTCCACAACTTACCTTGTCAATGTTCATATCTCTTGCTCTAAGAAAGCGCAATAGGTTTGAGTCGTTCGGGATCTATAAAATAAAGGAATACGTAGGTGGAAAATTGCTCTGAGGTAAGCTTTCAGTATTTGATTACAACTTGCATTTTGAATAACCTTTTCAAATGTTTATTTGAATATTCAGCATTCAGACAAATATTTATGTAAGTTTTAAAAAAGATTTAAAAAATGTTTTAAATTGGTCTACAAACTTGCTCTAAAATTGGTTTTCTAAGTGTTGACCGCGACTAAAAACATTTTTCGAACTTTGAAATAAGTTTTCCATACTTACAAATTGAAACTATGACTTTTCAAAGACAACTTGAAATATAGGATAAATGTGCATCAAAGACTTAATCAATGTGCATCGAAGAAATGTCAATTAAGTGAAATCGAGTCCACTTTTGTTAATAATACGTCAGGATTAGCCTGCAAAAGGCTACACACTAAACAGAGTAGACTCGCACAGAACATATCATTTAAAGTTCCTATATCACCGTAAGGGAAGCACACTCTTTAGATAGAGTTAACCATTTTAAGAACATTTGCAATATATTTTATAAGACGAAAATTTCCTTGACTTTTTGGCCCTCAAAGCTGCTGTGACTGAGTCTAGTTCACAGGACATGACCTACACTGGAGAACACGCTGCTTTTTAACGCAATAGTTTATAGTGAAATTTGTAGGAAAGTAAAGAAATTTATTTTTTATTAAACTTGAGTTATATTGTGCAGTTTGTTATTGAACCACACTGTAATTCTTTAACGTTAAAAAGCAGCGTGTGTACAAAAATGTGAAATTAAATACCTTTCCCAGATGAGTTAAGCTGATACGTTTCCTAAGCTGAAAAAACAACAACAACAAAATAAGCACTTGTCATGAGCCTTTGAACAAGCCATTGATATTAAATAGTGATGATATTATTGAGCACTGTGAGGGAAACGCAAGCGACCGCAGAATATCGTAAATTTAGGGACATTCATATGTTTTAATTCACTTTAAACCCAATGAACTAAAACTACAAATGTAAGGCTTGTGAACATGCCTGTACTTGTATGAAGCCAAATTTACCCTCAGGCACGCGTGTCTGGGGTCAAACCCCGCATTCTAGCTCATCATCGCACATGAAATTCCTTTGGGCCGTGCGTGGAAATATGGGACAAGTCGAATTGCTTCAAATTTTGGCGGGAAGTCGCTTTCAGCATTATTCACTTCAGTGTTTAAACCATGATCCATTGAAGTAAAATACATGGAACGCTACTTGCAATACAAAACCATAATAATTTTTTGAAGCCGTGATTTTACCCTAGACACGCGAGACTTTACCCCAGACGCGCGTGTGTAGTCAATCAATTATTACTCCGCGAGAGAAACTCGAAACATTAAACACGCGTGTCTGGCGTAAAATATGGCTTCAATTATTTGCTTGAGGTAGCATTCTATGTATTTCAGTTCAATGCCATAATCACAACTCACTTCAACAACAGGAATCAATAAATCATAAAGTACATAGACGAACATGGCTTTCCTAAATTATCAATCTTTCACAATCCCACAAAATGCAATGTTTTATTAAATATACTTGGGTTCTGAAGGAGAGGGGGAGGAGGTTTTGGATTTGCTTTCTTGTTTTTACATTGAATGAAGTCAATGAACATAGAACAATCTACTTTGCAGGATTTAATAAATTACCTGACTGCGATAGTGGATTTAAATAAAAGCTCAAACCATAACTGACCTGGATCAATGCATTTTCTTCAGTTGGTGTTAAAGCACCAAGATAACGATGTATGTATTCATCATCAATTTTATACTCAGTATCTAAGTAACAGAAAAATACATGTTTCCATTTGATTAGTTTTTGAATGATGAGTAAAATTACGTTACTGAGTAATCTAGACAATAATTTTTCAACAGGAAAACTTTGAGTCAAAACTGTCCTTGTGTTGAGTAATCCAATACAATAACCAATACCACCCGCACAGCTTTTGTAGTTGAAAATAACCAATACCACCCCACAGCTTATTCTAAAGGGGTGACAAATGGTGGTGATGGTGAGATGACATTTACCAACACCACCCTCAAATATCAGTTACTGATGACTATATTACGCACTACCATACATGGGTAGCAGACAGTTGATAATTTGGGGCCAAATTCATATAAACTATGTAGAACCCCAATAATTTGAACTCTTAAGGGAAACAGAAAATTGTTTGTGTTGTCAAGGGGTCAGCTAGATCATATCAAAGTTGCGATGCTGTTGATGCAAATTTTTCACACATAACGAGCATTTGAAACTATATGTTATGTATATAAGATTGATTTCATGTCTTTTGAAATGAATTTACACTTTTGACTGATAAATTTGAACCTTTGGAGTTCATACTTAGACCTTTTGCATTTTGAGATAAAAGTTGGAGTTATCCAATAATCCAGAGAAAGTTAACAAAGAGAAATTGAAATTTGTTGGAGAAACAGACAAAAATTTAGTTAACCATTTACTGTGAAATGTTTAAATACTAAAATCCTGGTGAAATGAAACTGGATCCACTCTCAGGCATGTTGGCATGGAGTTTCAGTTCACAGTAGTAAATTCCTGTGAAATGTTTAAATACTCAAATCCTGGTGAAATGAAACTGAATGCACTCTCAGGTATGTTGGCATGGAGTTTGAGTTCACCATAGCAAATTACTGTGAAATGTTTAAATACTCAAATCCTGGTGAAATGAAACTGAATGCACTCTCAGGCATGTTGGCATGGAGTTTGAGTTCACCGTAGAAAATTACTGTGAAATGTTTAAATACTCAAATCCTGGTGAAATGAAACTGAATGCACTTTCAGGCATGTTGGCATGGAGTTTGAGTTCACCATAGCAAATTACTGTGAAATGTTTAAATACTCAAATCCTGGTGAAATGAAACTGAATGCACTCTCAGGCATGGATGGAGTTTGACCATAGCAAATTACTGTGAAATGTTTAAATACTCAAATCCTGGTGAAATGAAACTGAATCCACTCTCAGGTATGTTGGCATGGAGTTTCACCAGCAAATTACTGTGAAATGTTTAAATACTCAAATCCTGGTGAAATGAAACTGAATCCACTCTCAGGTATGTTGGCATGGAGTTTCAGTTCACAGTAGCAAATTACTGTGAAATGTTTAAATACTCAAATCCTGGTGAAATGAAACTGAATGCACTCTCAGGCATGTTGGCATGGAGTTTGAGTTCACTGTAGCAAATTACTGTGAAATGTTTAAATACTCAAATCCTGGTGAAATGAAACTGAATCAACTTTCAGGCATGTTGGCAAGGAGTTTGAGTTAAGCAAGTTCAAGTTATTGTGATTGCATGCTATAATTCCTCATCAGAAATCATTTCAATAGAAACTAATAGAGCAGAAAATATGAAAATCATTTTGGGTATCCTCATTTTTCAATCTTTTGCCCCCTTGTCAGTATAACACCTTATTGTACCTGGTGACAATTAAGTAAGGCAAGATGTACACCACACTCACACCTCATTCTCTAGGGTCATGGGTAGGGGGTGGTTGATGAGAAATCATGGCCCCCATCTTTAACTCCTTTGGAACCTACATAACATAAAATCATATACATTTGGCAAAACTTACAAGAAGATACGGCTCCTTCCTGTACAGAAACTTCATTTTCTTTAGGATTGGATGATTTCACAATCTTTATGGATTCCTCTTTTGCTATTGGTTCATTCAAACTTTTTGTCCGAGGTTTTCCCTGAGAATCTTCAAACCGTGGTAAATCTTTTACTCCTTCACTGATCAATTCGTCAATATAATATTGGATTATTTCTTTACCCTAGAACATAAAATAACCAATTTTTACTATGTGGGATAACTCACTTGGAGAGACCTGATCTTAAATAAACTTGTGCATCTATCTAAATAATGCACCATCTATGAATAACAAATTCAAGTGTTCAAGGAAATGATTGTTTGTCTGACAGGTTAGGTTGGTGGGAAATTCTGATCAAGCAAGCAAAACAAAGTGTCAGACAAAAGAAATAGCACTTTTGCATTCTATCAGACATTTTAAATGAACGACAAGTTTTTTTATTGTAAACATGTTTTGGCATGCTTATGCCATCTTCAGTAGATAAAATGAAGGTGATTATGCTATTTACAGGATGTATATATATGTGTATGTGACTATCGCTAAGTGTATCAAATTACAGAATTAGTGTTAGATATTATATTACAGGTTAAATATTGTATTAATGTGGTATATTTGTTTGTTGAGGTCTGCTTTGAGCTTTTTAATGTAGAGCGCTTCTTTCAGTTTAAGAGAAAAAGGAGAGTTGGCGGTGTCTAAGATGCAGAAACATGAATGGTTGTTTTTTGATTTCCAATGTGGTGATGTGTGAAGGTGTTTATAAATATGTGAGTTTTTGTCAGAGTGTGTGTGTTCTTTGATGCATCACCAAAGACATCACATTGGAATGTCACAAATATTTAACCATTAATTATTCTATAGATAGTACGTATGATAAAAACCTTTTTAATGTTAGACAAGTAAATCTTTATCATCAGTTTCTCAACAGCTGCTTCAAAGTTAAAAAATGCTTTCACATCCAAGCTTGCCTCTTGCTCATAGCATGTCCATTCTGGGTTTTCGGGATGTACCTGTAAAAACACAGGTGAAAAACACAATTAATAAAGTGTACAAATTGAATAATCATAACTCCCAGAAATTTTTAATTAATGTATTCAACAACACCATGCCATTCTTCAAAGGCTACAAACAGGAGCTTAGCATGACATTTTGAACTGGGCAAGGTGCAAATTTTACTGACAAACACAAGGTATTTCAAATGCATTTGGTGAAATATTACACTCAGTTGGCGCAATATTGTGCTTATCGAATTTGTAATATACAAAATATATTTTGGAGATATTATTTATTACCTATTAAATATTGGTATAGTCCTGAGAAGGACTGTTTTTGTTGTTGTTGACTGACGTTTCGACAACCTTAGCAGTAGTCCTCTTCAGAGTCAAATGAGGAGTAAACATCACGTTAGCCGTATTTGTTATCTGGTTCTTACGTCATTGTATTGTGTGTATTGTCGAAATGTCAGTCAACAACAACAAAAACAGTCCTTCTCAGGACTATACCAACCTGGACGATCTACATTTACAAACATGTAACGATACTCCCAGGTTCAAACCATTTAAAATATTGGTTTATTAGTTCAAAACTGATATGAAAATTGTATCATTACCAACCAATGTGGCAAAGGCAGAGGATGTTTAACACCACCCACCCTCATCTCAGTAGATTTTGCCTTTGACTACAAAGAACATGTGCAAATAGCACCCACCCCGTTGCTATTCCTGTTGTTAATTTCCTTTTTTATTATTCAAATACTTCATTAATCCTACAGATTCATAATATTACACCTCAATAAACAATGACAGCTAACTTTTCAACACAAAATACATACAGAATAATAGCAGTTTTCTTTGATAATGACACGAGATGAGAAGCTTTCGTTGTATGCGTTGATTGTAAGTGTCCTCTTACGCCAATTGGTAGTGTTTTTTTGAATGAAGAAGACATTATCCACACCAATAATCTGTTTGAAAAGAAAATATATGTTTAAACTAAGTTAGTCCTTCTGTAGACAAGCAATTTTTGATTCTCACAACTTTCAAATGAATTAATTTTCACAGTGATATGTGTCAATTTAAGTAGTATGAGGATATAACATTAATCAAAATAAATTACAACTCCTTCATTTGTACTCAAAATACTTTCATAACATATTACTATTGTGTATCAATGAATTTCAAACAATGATATTTTAGTAAAAGAAATGTATTTAATACAATGAAAATATAACACCCTGTGTTTTGACTGACAATCAGTGGCAAGCCAGTTGGAATTTTTACTTCAAACATGCAAACTTTTCAGTGCAATTATTCATGTCTACAGAATAATATCAATCATTGTTTTGCCAGTGAATGAATACAAAAATATTGGAATAGCTGGAGTAAAACAGGGGCTACTTTTGAAAATGATTGAGACAACCTTTGTTTTGTTTTCCTATCAAATTTGGTTTACCACGCCATGGAATTTCACTCAAGAGCAAAAATGCAAACATCTGCTAACTTAGCATGTCAGGTCATTTTGGGAGAGCCAATATTGCTGACTTTAAGTCTCGAGATACAGTTTTAAGTCAAACATAAAACAACAGCTCAACTCTGGGATGGCCTTAATAAGCTATAACTAACAATTTACACATTTAAATATTGACCGTGAATTGTGAATGGAATTTAATGGATTTTACCAGCAATCAGATTGCACATAATCTTATTAAAATATAACGACGATTGCCTAAGAAGCGTAAAATTATGTTTAACATTATTGCTGTGTTTGGCTCGCTGGTTGGCTGTATCTGTAGCTACTTGCTATGAACTAGAATTCCTGTGAATATATTGATATCGCGCCGAAAGTATTATACAGTAAATAAATACGATAACTTTTACGGCATTCCCTTAGTTTAGTTCCGTATTCCTCCAAACAAATAATTTTGGTTATAATGTAAATTCTTCCTCAAATAAAAGTCTGGAGAATAAAGACATGAGAGATTTAGTAAATGATTCGCCGACACTAGCACTACGATTCAAAATAAAGCTAAATCCAACGATAGACAATAATGTGCTCTCGATATTCTTCATAAATTATAAATACAAATTTGCCGATAGAACCCGTTGAAAATCGAGAACACACTACGTCAATATATGAAATTTGCTTACTACTAGATTCTTCAAATTTTACTGAATTACACAACTATACCTTCTTCAAAAGATACGGTGCCTCCACGTTGATCCTACATCTTCTCTCTATAATATGTTCGGCACCATCCTCGCTCGTACTTTCAGAAATAATTTCACTACCGAGAAAAATCGGTATCATTTTGCAAGTTGGAAAACGCTTCTGGTAAGCCTTAAAAAGGAGGGAGAAACAAATACAAAATTCAATAAACAAATAGGAAGCATAAGAAAAGGTTAATCTAAATAATCTTTCAATTTCTATGTCAAAACGACTGAAGTTGTATAAGAATATTCTAGGAAAACAACAACAAAACAATTATAATTTCAATCTGTTAGTAGTTCTTCCCTGTCAAGCTAGAAATTGTACCTACCGCCATAACAAGTTCAAACGGGTACTTGTAAACTCGAACCGGTGACTGATACTCCTGCACCATTTTCGCGATTTCCTCCTGCCAATGCGAACCAGAAGCTTTCAAAGTGCACAATGAAGCCTACGTGCAATTTGAAAACAAGAAGCCCACTACAGGCTGTGATAATGACAAACTATAATTGTCTTAATAGACTTTGACTGCACAAGTTCAACGTATTTGTTTGATACTTTAATTATGTATGTACGACGCACGCTCTGTCAGCTACAGGAAGTAAAAGTAACAGGAAGTCGAATGAGAAGTCGACTGAAGTAGACGTGACTATGCCAAATTTTAATGAGATTGCTTCAATCAATGCGATTTGCGCGTCTACTGAATGATTTTCGCCTTTCAACTGTGGGGGTTTATTGATAAACAAAATAATCTCCATCAACAAATTGCGACTGGCATGGTTGCTTTGCAAGACATCATCCCACCAAATACAAAATAAAAGACAAAAAAAAGTATTTGTTAATTCAAGTTTATTGGAATATATTTGAGCCAAACAGGCATAATTGCGATACGTTAATTACAAATGAAAAAATCAACAACTTACTGATGAAATATACTTTTCAATAACCTATATTTATAAACGTAATATATTAAAATTTCATGCTACATATATATATCATAGTATGGTATACACTAAAACATAAAACACATCCTTACAATAACAAATGCTGGCTAAGCGCAGGAAACAACAACAGCAACAGCAAATTATCTTCATAATACTTATGGTGAAAATCAGTCTTGTCAATATATCATTAAATTGGAATGGAATTCATAAAAGCATTATTAATCACCATACCAATGTTTTATTATTCATTATCATAATTAGTTTTTAGTTTTAAAAACATTTCAGCTGCATGCGTACAATTGATCAGCACATTGATGCTTGACTTTAGTCTTTAGTTTGTGTCTACTCTAAAAAATTCTTTCGCGACAAACTAGCAAAAAATGCATTGTACAGCATTCTGAAGGATTATTGTTGGTCACTGTACAAAAATCGATGTTGTAATCACAGTTTTCAACGAAAATTATTGTTTATGGTGTACATTTCTATATTTATAAATTCATTTATATATAGTATATTTTTATGAATTAAGTTAAATTCACTACATTAAATGAAATCAACGCTTCCTAAAATCAAAGAATTTAGTAGTTTAAAATTTAGTATGATATTCATGTCATCTATTATATAATCATTGAAAAAAAGTGCGAGGAAAAGTACTGGCCTAAAGTAAAAAAGAACATTAACTATGGGATGAAAAAATGTGGTGAGCTGAGGAGTTCTTCTATTAAGGTATGAGTAAGATATTTTTTCGTTGGTTTCCTCGTTTTAATAATGGTAAGTTGTATTCATCTTACTATAAAATCCTACCTATCAAACTATAGTATCCTAAACTACATAATAATTTATATGGTAAAAGCACTGGACGAGATCGTGATGTCAACTGAAGGTTATGGGGAACAAAAGGGGGATAATGATTTGAATTCTCAATGAAAAGATGATTATCATATTGTTGCAATTCTTGAACAGTGTATTACTCTACCAGAACGGATTAAAGATAGTAACGGCGAGACAGATTAACAAATTATTGACAAATCTAGAGGGAATCTCGTCCAGTGTAAAATACAAAACTTTTAATTTTTGAATTTCAAGCTATGAAACTAGCTTAAATATTTTAATTACTTATATAATCAATAAATTTAACAGATTTATAAAATCCAAAATTTTTTATATGATTAGTGTTGCTTTGTTTATTTGTATTTCGATGTAATTAATAACAAAGCGATGTCTCATTATCGCTCTGCCATCAAAAATAGTTAGAACTTATGTTATCAATGTTAAGCCAAAGTGAACTGTAATATTCAACAGCGTCAAGCCACAATTCACAGTGTTAAGGCGTTTGCGAATGCAGTTGGTGAACACGTGACTCAAGAGATGACGTGATTTTCACGAGATAAATGAGAGGCAATTGAATGCAGTATTTAAAAAAAAACTGAAAATAAACGTCAGAAGAAATCGAATTTTATAAAATTGTGTTTTTAGTCTCTCAACTCATCAGATTTTCTTAAAAGTTCACGTCAAATCTCCAAAAGTTACGAGTATGAAGAAGATTAATAAAATTATTGAATCTTGTGACCTAAATTTTCACCAAAACTTTAGACCTTAAGCCCGCTTGCATAATGTTAAAATACTTTTACACACAATACACAACTATATAAAAGTTGTTACCACAATCCTTTTGAACTGCGATTTACAACTGCAGTACCCTCCTTGTCTCAAAGAAAATTTGCTATTTGCTAAAGAGAGTCGAGTTAAAAGTTATTACCTGACGAGATGAAAAATTAATATCTTCAGGGAAGTCTCGCGATTCCCATTGATGCATGTTCAAAAACAATATGGAAGAGAGATAGACGGAAATAGGCACATCAATCATTTAGATACAATATCAGCAAATTTTCTTGGAGGGGGGTACCCAATTCACCTTTTACACTGAACTCATCCAGAAGCGTGGCTCGTCGCAGCAAGGTGATTCGCCCGTGACAGATTCGTCAACTTCTTCTTCGGTTTTGAACAGGTTGGGATGACTATCCAGATAGTCATCGCTAAAGAATACCGATTCCACGCCAGCGTTAATGAGCATAGTTTTCACGTGATTCTGCACGCGGGAAAAGTACATCTTAATCTCGTTATCTTGAAGATCCTGGATGATTTGAAGGAAACCTTGCGATACAGTGAAGTCCAATTCAGACATATTGCTACAGTCTAAGATCACCAGCTTAGGAGGCACCTCACACAGAATTGAAGCCTAGAATTCAGTAATAGAACATATTTCATATTACATAATCTAATATTCTTATCAACAATCTTGTATTATCCAAAATGTCATCCTGAAGTTAAAACTGAATGGAACTTAATTAAGCGACTTTGAGAAACACTCTTCCTTGCAGAATTTTTTTGCCATATAAGAACAGCTAGTGTGCCACTTTTAATTCTTGTTAGAGCACTAAGTGAGTTTCCTATTAATTCTTGCTAAAACAGTTACGTGGCCTCTTTCATTGCTATTAGAACACTAAGAGCGCACCATGTACTTCCTGTTACAACAGTCACTATGCCCCTTTTAATTCTTGTTAGAACACAAAGTGCGTACCCTTTGATTCCTGTGACAACAGTGGGTGTGCCACCTTGAAAAAGTTCGTTTAATAAAAACTATTAACTAGTCAATAATGTAAAATCAAAAGCTTCATAACTTATGTCTGTAATACTTTCAGTGAGATACCTCTCATTGAGCTCATTTCTAAACCAGCACAGCAGAGCTATCTATATACCATAGAATTTCAAAAGTGATCGCCCCAGCTACTTTCAAAATGCGTGGTCTTAAGGGGCAGCTACATTCAGAGGCGCACTCACTTTCTGAGGACGCTTAGTTGGGAGTTATTATTTTCTGCCTCGGTTAGCTCTTAATCCACTCATGGCAGTGAGTTTTGTAAGGGCGGTTACTTTCGTGGGAGACCATACGGTAAGAAAGTTAAATCGTTAGTCAATACGTTTACTTTGCTAACCTCCTCAATTTTTGTTGCAAGATGCTCAATACCAACGTATGTTAAGCCACCATTTATTCGAATCACCGTTACTTCATGTTGTCTTGCTTCAATACGTGGTACAACCAACCGATAAATTAAGAGTAACAGAGCGCATGCAATTCCAGCAACGATACCAGTGGCAATATCGTATAGACATAAACCAAATGTTAGGATAAATGGAATAATGTCCACTTTCTTTATCTTCCACATTTTCCTGACCACTTCGTGGTCAATCATATGGATAACAGAGGATAGAATAACAGCACCGAGGGCCGCTTTGGGGATGTATTGAAAGAATGGAGTGAGTACACCAAGGGCTAACATGACAAGTCCTCCGGTAAAAACACCTGATGAAAAAAATTAACAATAAAACACCGTTTCCTGTACAACTACACTTGTGTCTACAAACAAAATATCGCTATTTGAGAATGCAAAATCATAGTTTCATAGAATCTAGCTGTTTTCTATGTGTATAGAGATGCGTTTTGTGAGAATTTTTCAACTAAGAGGCAAATGATCAAAGTTAACTGCATGCAAACGAGTACTAATGCCATTTCAAAAATTACCTCCCAAAGGAGTAGCAACACCGCTGATCGAGTTGACAGCTGTCCTTGAAAAACTTCCAGTAACTGGATAGGCTGAACAAAATGCGCCAACAAAGTTAGCAATGCCAAGTGCAATCAGTTCTTGGCTGGGATCGACCTTGTACCTATTCTTCCTTGCAAACGCCTTGGCAATAGCAACACTTTCGAGAAAACCAATCATGGGTAAGACAATAAGGCCACCTTCGATCTCCGTAAGTATCTGGGTGGTGGAGATAGTGCTGTTGCCATCGTGGGAGGTCAATTTTGGCACCTGCAAAATACACGTACAATGAAACGAAATTCCTATCAAACGCAAAACGGACGACTATACTTTTGAAAGAGAGAAGAAGTTTCAACAAAACTTCACCTCGTATTCCACTGGACTGGGAGTAAGAGGTGAAGTTCATCAGATATGAGATGAAAGTCCACGAGTACTTAAGTTTCAACACCAGATCACTCCTGATTAAGACACTAGACCTAGACTGAAATATATAAAGACTCGAGCTTAAACACGAGTTCTCTCCTGATGAAGACACTGGACTGGAGTATAAAAAGACTGAAGTTTCAAAATCAGTTCCTTTCTGATGAAGACACCAGACTGGAGTGCAAAAGAATCCTAGCTTCCACAAGTGATCATTTCCCATGAAGCACTTGAAATTTAGCCTAACAATTGCCTCGCATTGAAGAAGATTCTCAAAAATATCAATTTGTAAGCAAAACTTGCTTTCAACAACCTTATAGCCAAGAGATAAATAACCAACAAACCTCAAACTTCGGTAGGCCTTTTTTGATAGCTCCGGTGAGGGTAAAATGCCCACCATTTCCATGTGTTTCCATCATGAGAGCCAAAAATGTCGTAAAAAAGACAATGACTGCATTACGGCCAACAGACACAAACCAAACTATTTTCTTCATGATTCTCTTGCTCATCGACTCTTCTCGTTTGTACAATATGGCCATTCGATTAACCCGTCGAAATGCTTCCAGCAAGAGAACGCAAGCGACGCCAAGGACAACATCCCAATAGTTCGTCTTGGCGATGTTACTGAAGGTCTTGTGGAGTCGCGGAACGAGTTTCTTCGGCATCCCGGACATACCAAGTATGCCAGGCAATTGGCCAAAACCAATAATAATGGCTGCTGCAGATGTGAAACCGCTGATCACTGGGATTGGGATGAAGCGAACGATGAACCCGAGTGAGAAGAGACCCATCAAAAGCTGCAGAAGACCACTGAAAAACGATAACGCCACCGCGTAGTGGGCATCATTCTGACGACCGTATGTCGCCACCATCAGAGACATTATTGCTGTCGGTCCTAGGGTCACATCTTTGCTTGACCCAAGGAAACAATATATAAAGCTACCCATGAACGCGTTGTACAAACCGTACTGGGGAGGCAACCCAGCAAGTACGCCATAGGCTAGACCCTGAGGGATAACCATTAGACCAACGGTTATACCAGCAATAAGATCGCTTTGCAACGACTGTAGGTTGTATTTTGGCAACCACTTAACGATGGGTAGACGACTTTTCCAATCTAAAGTGCAGCGCATTTTTGTACGTCTAAAGAAAAGTACGATAAAATAAGTTTACAAAAACATCATTTCTAGAAGACTAGATCTTAATCTAAAGAAAAGCAAGATAATGTAAGACTACGAACGTAAGATAAAACAAGACGACCAAAACATCCTTCTAGAATTTTTTTTATCATTAAGATGCATAGTCACAACAATAAATTAATATTAATAATGCACTTAATAAAAAATCTCCGTTTAAACAAAGGTAAACAAGAGTCGTTACTTAGAATCTAAACTCGCGGCCATTTGAATATTTTCTTCTTCGATCGACAAGATAAAGCTAGACATCCCCCATTGAATGTATATTCCACACCAGAAAGTTTTGGAGAATGAGAGAATTAAAAATGTTCAAATTGATTTCTGGTTAATGACACGTCTGCATTGCTGATACACAACAGACTTCTTTCGATATTTCTTGCACATTATTTCCATGGAATTGAATACAATTTTGTCAAACTCGAATGAAGAAAAGATTACGTTGTATACAAACGCTTGAATTCTGAAGAAATTCTATTTTGTTAAAACATTTGAAATCATTTCATTCACCAACACACCAGTCTTTGAGTAAGATAAGATGAGCCGACAAATATTGATTTGAGTATGAATACATTAAGAATCGTGCGAGACTTTTATTGGAAGACGTAATCTGAAATTTAAGTGATTACTTAAGCGTAGACAGATATCACGGCGGGCAAGATTTGTTTTTTCTCCTTAAAATTAAACTAACTACTCATCTACGTAAAGTTATGACATCATTCGAAAAGGATAGTCTTTAATGTTAATTTTTTTCCACTAATGATAGTTAAAGAACAGTTTGGTTGAGTCAGTGTAATGCAAAGGGCCAAAATATAAAAAAATGCTAACTAGCTTCAAAGCTATGCTTAAAAAGAAAGAACCACTAAATAAAAGCGCAACTTTCCTCTCATTATATTTCCACATTCCAGGCGTTGTCGTTGCCGGTGAACTCTCACTACTTTCTGTTCAAATGTTTCGAAATCGAAAGCTCTTCGACATCGCATATTTACATTTGGTGCCCTTACAACTGTTACTATGCAAAGTCCAATACCTAAGTACGAACAGTTGGGTGTAAAAATACATTGTTTATTTTGACGACAAGTGTTCAAATATTACCACATATAGTTGTCTTACCGATATTTAAAACAGCATCAATCTATATATCAGAATCAACATAAATACGTAAACGACAAAACCAAAAATTCGTGGGAAGCGTGTTTATTAGAAAGTGACAATTATTAGGAAGGTGTTTAATTGAGTATTAACTGTACGCTTGTATTATAAATAATATGAAACAGATTTCATAAGATTTCTAACTTCGCTACATTTTGTAAATAGCATTCCTTCTTTTTTCTTCGATGTCCACGAGATAAAAAAACTAGTAAGAGTCATCTGCAATTGATTGCTTTTGTCTGATCTAGATTTTTCCGAGCACGCCTTTTCTGGCACCCTGGGGATGATTGTAATGTCACAATTTCATCATTTCCATTTTTTCCTTAAAAGTCAAGATCTCAAAAGATAGCCGTTTGAAAATTTCAAAACTTTGCAAAAGGGAGCATGTGGAGGGTGGGAAGTGCTTAATTGAATCCATAAGTATGGTTTAATTAAAGAAATGTGGGGGAGGGAAGTACATAATTGGTTTATTTTATGTGTTATCACATCAACAGTAAACAGAACTATTCAATAACTACTCCCTCTGTTCAGTCGTTCACAGTTAATATCCTACACTTCAGGTTACTCATAGACACTTGCGTTTTAAACTACTTAACCCTCATCTGTTTCAACAGCATCCAAAATTTTCTAATGCTTGGCATATTTTATAAACTTCATCACAATGCTTGAGCGCGTTCAAAAAGTTACCGAGCAAACGTTTTTTTCATGTGTTTTTTTTTATCGACAGCGTTAAATATTCACTGCGTACGCACTTCGTAATTTCACAATTATGATGGAGGATGCCATATGGACTTAAAGAGCTGGGTAATCCAATATCCAATTATACTCCGCCCACTCCTCGTACAATCCCATATACATCAAACGTTGCTCACCGCTAACGTCTATCATCTTATTCAATTGTCCAACAGCGATTACAACATCAGAATGCCTACATGATACGGTCACCAAAACCTATAGAATTCCTGATCTTAAAGTTCACATACTATCTAATATAGGTCAAATTTCCACTGTTTCAGCGCTATTTGTCGTTCCTGCTACATCCTATATCTCCCAGCTATTTTAATTCACACCCGCTAAAGATGTTTGATTACACTATCAAATTAACAAGGTCCATAAATTATAGTTTTCTTTTTTGTATTGCATTTCAAGGTTTTACATGGTGAGCAGTAAGAAAATATCTGCAATATCCAAAAGCAAAGTATTTTCGAGAAAACTTGAGTAAAATTTTTAGTTGAGATGACGATATTCTTGTTGAGAATACGATATTTTTATCTTACATGAAGTATAAGCAACGACGCCCAACCCTTAGAGTTTCATTCTTACATTAAATCTTAGTAGGAAAATTTACGTATTGGTTTCCATGTGAACCAATGATGAAAAATAAACTCACATCGTAAAACTTAAGAGCATAAAACTAGAAAAGAAAAAAATTAAACGTGAAAGAAAAATGTTAACACGTCTGAGCGGTTTTGAAAAAAAATTGTCTCAATAGTTTTATAACATAAAATATCCAGTTGGAATTCATAAGTAATCGTAACCCTTTATGGTTTTGAGATCAAATATCTCATGATTTAAAATATCTCTTTGGTTTGAAATAAAGTATCTTCTTTGTTACGGGATAAAATATCGTTTTGTTTCAAAACAAAATATGTTTATGATTGAAGCGAAATACATTTATTGTGCTGACATAAAATGTTTATATGCTTTTGACATGAGTATCTCTTTAGTTGCGAGGTATCCCACGGGGCCACTCTACGTCAATAGATAATCACTTCAAGATATCAGTTTCAAAAATGCTTCCGGAAAAATCTTTTAGCAACTACCGAGAGTTATATGAAGGCGTCGAAAGGCATGAAATACACATCTGCTAGATACCTTTAGAATTCGTGTTCTACATTCAACTTGCATGACGAATTAGCAAAAACCTTTTCAAAGCCATTTTAGGAGAATCAGAACAATTGTAAACGAAGTTTGCAGGAGTAAAATATGAAATTAATAAAAGATGCGTCGGTTTAGCACACACCAGGAAAAACTTACTCCATTCATTTATTTTATTGATTTTAGCATCCGACTCAAATAACAACGTGTTTCATTATTATAAACATCCGTCCGGAAATAAAGTGAATACACACACGAAGAAACAATTAGATAGAGTATATAAACAACAGACTTAGACAATGGAAATAGGCAAGCGTTAGTTCATGATATTCACGGGAAATTGACAAGATTATCCCCGTCCCAAAATGGCTGTTTACCAGCACGCTCACCCACGCATTTTAAGAGGCACATTTTATGCAAATTAGATTGCGTCCTTTTAAACTTGCGACAGCGATACAATACATTGTACACAATGTTTGCAAAACTTTACGTTTTTGAGTCTACGGTTTTAAGTTGAAATGTCATGGGAAATGGTGATGAGCCACACATGACGCATTCATTATAGACCAGTATCGAATGTCCGACTTTTAAAGTTGCAGATCACATCAGAAATTAAAAATAAGGAAAATGGACTCTTTAAATTTTTATACTATTGATGTTTGAAACGTCTCTTTACTAAAATGCGCAGGTATTATTCAAAAATGAGGTATCAGTTTTCCTCCAAATTGGGTCACGCTCAATATAATAGTTTACAATTCAGACGATAAATAAAAGTAAATAAAAAAACGTACAAAATAAAACATACAAAAATAAAAAACAGAAAAATCCATTAACTGGATTGTAACTAAAGGAAGAAGAGCAAATTTCCGGTAAGTCCACAAGTCTTAATTTAAAAAAAACATGAAACGCAATAGCTAGATAAAATGAAGCAAAATAAAACAAGTTCGCAAGAAAGAAGTAAGCTGGGTCGAAATAATTTCCGTTTCAAATTCATGCACGACGACTAAAATTTTCTATATTGCTAATGTTCCATAGTGTTACCTGCTTTTATTAGTAAGTTATCGTTGTATACTCGGAAAATAAATCTACTTGAAGACCGCCAAAAACCGATTCGCTCTCGTATAACTTTACCACACTTGTGTTTGATGCCTTTACCACTAACGCGAGAGTGAAAATTAAATCAAACTTTTAAATATTTTCCAATGAAGCTGAGATGTGCAGACCGCGAACTTATGTAAACGAATGACTCGGAATTACCTTCTGCAAGCAATGAATGTCTGAAAGAATTTCCAAGACCATGTAACGCACGGCTTATGTAAAAGCTATGCATGTGAACAAAAATTCCTCTCCAACACGCGAGCTTAGCTGTTGCCAGACCTCATGAGCATGTCACAAGGGTAATGAGCATTGTCAACGAGGCGCCGCAATCTTCTTTTTTTTTGTTAATTAATCTTTAAAAATATTATATTTTCAATGAAAATGTTGGAGAAAAATATGTAATGAAATGTCTGTGCCCGTGTTGTATAATATACATGCTTTGACCGTGACCGACACTCACCACCTGTCCTGAGGGTATGCACCTCCAACAATAGCATGATTTATAATGATTCACGCAAAAATCACGCGCCGTCTTAAAATTGCATGTTTGTGGAGACCATGCACTAGCTATATATAATTATCTGCTTGTATTTGAAGCCTCGTGTAAATATGACCAGTTTCCGAAGTCAAAACCATTGAAATATCTTTTATCCTTCTTTTTTAAAGGCTCTATTAATATCTATCATATTCAAAGTAATAATTCCCTTTCCTCTAGGCTAGTCTCTGTCCACGAAATCGATACTATTTATAAAATTTAAAAAGTAGAACTTTCTATGTCTGTAAATACGTAAATAATTTTTAAAATGATGCTGCTTTAATTCCCGTGCGGCCGTGATAGCTGTATATTATTCATGTTCAGGAGTTTTATTTTACGTTAAAGGTCAAATAGATATGAATTTGCAGTTGAAACTAATAACTATATATCGTATTATGGAATTTTAACGAGCTTTTCGTTCGAGAGTTTTTATAGAATAACGAAAAATACCCTTTGCTCATAAGGCCACATATATAATGAAAATGCTTTTTAATGCATCAGTTCAAATGAAACAAAAGACATCGACTTTTCATTCGGCGTTTTCCGATATTCTATAGCTATAAAAACTATAACAAAAGGCGCTCACTAAACAAGAACCCGTCAGCATGCTTGCCAGCATGAGGCCAATACCGACGAAAATGTAGCCTTGAACTTATCCACTCACAGTAATTTGGAGTTTAACGTGTAATTGTCTGAGTGAATGAACGCGTATTGACTGTCTAAAAATAAGCATGATATCCCGCGCGCAAAATATTTAAATTAAATATAAAGATATTCAACTTTTCTGAAGTTTGCGTAGCGTCATGAATCGCATCATACTACTTGTACGAACCGCATTATATGAAATTTCAGGCCGGAACGGTACTTGAACATAAGCCATCGATAAGCATCAGTTATATAAACTATGAACTTAATCACGACTAATCCGAATCATTCCCGCCCCGCCTTCCTTCCCTCAAGAACTTGAAAATAATCAAACATAAAAGTTGTGGGAATTTTTTGATGGTTGAAAGCGACACTCAAGATGTGCGGCTTTTGAACTGTCCCTAAGAGAAATTACTAATAAACGATAACTGATGAAAGTTCAAACTCGTAATCTGGTATGAAATTGAAACGCAAGTCAAAATAAACTGAAACAAAAACAACAACAACAACTACAGCGAATAGATTCTGCTGGCATAAATCAACTATCACAAAATGAATTACACACATGTCATAATTCTGATGAATGTACAAGCAAAACGACGATGCCATTCAACTAAAAATTACGCATTATAGGCAATTTGAAAATAAGAATGAATAAATTTATTTACTTTTTTTGCTTTCGTCTTGAATGAATAGCCGACACTTTCTTCACCACAGCCTAAGGTGCAATGTCTATTGAAAGATCAAATCACGCGTAAGCTCAATTCTATACTAACTGTGTGTGCAATCGTAACGTATCTTTAGTAGCTTGTCCAGCATACCCGCTGCGCCTCACTTCCTATGCACGTAAAAAGAAGAGAACCAATGGGAGGGAAGAGGAAGCAGTAATTACATAATTGATTAAATCAGCAATTGTCAATAACAGCGATGCAACTGTGAATATGCGCCATTTTACAAGCTTTCGTCAAAAGATCAGACCTTTCAGCGATAGGAAAATCAAAACGCAAATTATCTGTCATGATGAAAAGGATTTATCCACACTTTAATTTTCAGACATGAAAAACGTGCGGAATGGAACATAAAACCACAAATTATGACGACATCTACGACGTAGGCCAGACATGATTCAGTGAAAATTGCAAGAACCCGTTTTCTTTGAGACGACGTATACATTCCCTTTCCCTGACTTTGATGGCACAAAATTTATAAGAAATTAATGTACTTGATCTCCTTATACCTATGTCATGGTGAGGATGGTACATAAGAACTCAATGTATTTGATCTTCTTATACTTATTATTTTGAGTTTGCCAATTTACTCGGCCTAAACCACAAAGGTCGAGAGTTGATCATGATACAACCTGTTTCAACAGTACAACAGACTCTTTGATAACACATAAAAGATCTGCGAGTTGACTTGCAGCAAAATTTAAATGTAATCATTGAGTTATTTGTTGAATATTCGTTTTGAAATGTAGCAACAGTAGCTACTAAATGGCATCAGACGGGTTTTCCTTCAAAGGATGACTAATAAATTCTTGATAATTATTGATAGATGTTTTTTGTTGTGCATATCAGGCATGACTGTATACTGCAAACTGTAAACACCCAATTACAGATATAAAAAGTCTAATAGGTTATCCAATGACAAAAAAAATAATGTTAAAATTTTTACGGTCTAATACATTGAGGTCTTATGTACCATCCTCACCATGACAGAGTTCTGCGCATGCGTAATGCTTATATGAGAAGACGATGTGTTGCAATCATTTAAATTTTTTGACTTGATGCAAAAATATACTAATTAAAACACGTTCTCGACAATTATTATGCCTTAGTATTTGGTTAGCATACATGCGTGCTGATATATAAAAACCACAAAATAACGCCAGGCGGCTCCCTGCAGTTATTGTGACAGAACATTCAAAAAGATTTTTTTGGCTAACGCAATAAGAAGCAAAACGTTCAATATTTTTTATCCTCTCCAATTTGTATTCGTTTTTCCTACTGATGACATGTTGTAGAAATCTGCAAAAATGTTTTGCGACGTCATATTGTATTGTTGTGACGTCTTAAGCTTTAATAGTAAATAGCATAATGTGCGCTAATACATGTGTTAATTTGTAGTGATTTTTATTTTTAATATAATGTTCCAGTGGATAAAATTACATGAATTTAAAGATTTTATGAAATTAGGAATGAGCTCAAACCCATCCTTCACGAGAATTTAAAAACAGAACGGGCGGATATCACATTAAAAGGAAAAATAAATAATATTTAATGATTGCTCTGGACGAGAGAACAAAATATCACTTTACCAATTTTTCTGTTGTTTTGGAGAATTTCATAAACAATTTCTTGATATCTTTTAAGTAGTACAATTTATTGGAATCCGAAAAGCGTTTTGAGCTAGTAGGGTTGTTTTCATAAAACAAATGTTCCACTTGTGCAATTGCAGTATGAAAATATGGCTTTTTCCTAGACCTAAAATGTTTCGACCTTTGCCACATAATTCATGAATCATGTGTCAAGCTCAAACGCTCATTACACTAAATTAAAAAGGCTTTCAAACGTAATAACTCATTAGCTCATTATAAGTAAAGTGACAAGAAACTTGGTTTTCAAAACCTGTTCCTGAATTCATAATAAATTGTTGAAATTACCAATGACTTTGCAAATTACTAGAGTCACTACATATTTTAGTGAAAACTTGAATGTATAAGGATAAGACGACATGAATGCAAGGAACGAGGTCGGTCAGCTCTGTTTAATATTTGCACGTGTTAAGAGAAAAAAAGTTTAGATTTCATGAATTTTGCAAACCTCCAGACAAAGTTAAGGGAGTCTTTCTACAATAGTTCAAAGTACATACATCATACATCTTGTGCTTTTATCAATTACAGAATGAAATTGCCCACATGCAACATCAAAGTTCAAGACCTCAAAGATCAAAAACTCATGCGCTTAACTTAAGACTGACAAGCGCAACGCAGGAAAAACTCGTTTTCACTATAGCAACCACTCATAAGATAGATACACGCGACTCAAACACGTGCATATTTGTTCTTTTGTGATAAGAATATAGCCTTCGATATGACTTCTACAGTGAAAGGATAATATGTATATAGATAGCTAATTTTTTTGGCACATCGAGATTGAAACTATAAAAATCCACAGTAAACATTAGAACGCTTAAAACTATAATAGTTATGCTTACAAAAAACACATTATTGTCGCCCAGCCCAAAATCACCACATGAGCACATAGCGAGATTCTTCAAAAATGATATCCTACATAATAACACTCGAGGGGTCAAACAAAAAACCTAAAAACGGATGTTGTGCAGCAAAATATATACTTACAAAATTCGATAAAAAATCAAAAGGCATATTATGATTTGAGAGTTTCGAACACTTTTACAATTTACACCACTTTTGACAAGCTCGTTAAATATGTTTCGACATCACAAAAGCGTCAATTCAACTATGACAATAACGATACTATGTGTAAACTACAATTTATTTGATTAAAAAGCCTCCATGTTTTTATGAATGTCCAGAAGCTAATCTTGCACCTCAAAATCCTTCTCATTTTAGATTTCCTTTCTGCTGATAGACATTTTTACATCAAACAAAAACACCGTCAAATTACCGACACAAAAATGACAAATTAACACGAAAAATTTGACATGAGCGAATAGCAAAACGGTTTCAAAGTATATTTATTGCCAAATGGCAGAATAGGAGTGAGTTGAAGCACGTATAGTAGAACAAACCAGAGCTGAAGTCGTTTCAAAAAAATTTCTATTTGAATTAAATGCGTGGGAAACCGGTATAGCTAAAAGGCAACAACTATCACCACTAAATGCGTTTACCACACTTTCAAAAACAAACAACAAATACATAGCAACAACACCTCTACACATAAACAAGCACGAAGAAAGATCATAAATCTCGTTAGAGTGGCTTATGTTTTGCAGTAATTGACAAATAATGACAGAAATAAAAATTATGATTCAAAATTTATTTCATTCAATGACCCTAAAAGCAGAGTTTCAAACAAAACGAATAGCCATATGGACTAAATATAAAAGAACCAATACTAGTGCTATCAGCTATTTCGAAGCGCGCCATATAAGACTACAACGTTCTTATATCTGATTTTTGTAAAAGAACCAATAAACACACTTTGTGCTATGGTGACTTATGTACATCGTTTTTAATTATTTAAATTACATCATGAAACTTCTGAAAACTTAATACATTGTGTAGTACATTGTAATTTCGAGATAGAAGACTGAAAATAATATAATGTAACACTCAAAATCTACTTTGTTGATTTCGGCTTCAAAGATGGCGGCGAGATTTGCGTTCCAGTTTTTATTACAGTTCCCCGAAGGAATACAAACGAATTAAGGAAAATTTATATGACGTAAGCCACAACTATGAATGAAAATTTTTATTCACAACAAAGCTAAGTGCTAATATACACCCTGCAGGAAGAAAGGAAGATTTTTTCCTCATAACGTCACATTTACTCTGAGAAAGAAGGAAAGAATGTGCGAGAAAAGAAACAATAAACATTTTACATGTGTGTGAATTTCCTAAATCACAACATGTTGCTAACGATAATTTACAATGACATTTTTTGCAAGTACCTTTGGTTGACCTCTGCTTACTCATACATTATAAACAAACCAGATAAAACAAGACTTAAACTATTTTGGGTTCATTATACGGTGAAAAAGAGGTTGTTATAGCACCATTTAAACAACAAACTGCTGATTGTGAGTATGAAGATCATATTATTAAGAAATTTAAAGATTAGGCGAAAGGCAGATTATAAAATCAAACTTTTTCTATTACTATAAGATCTCCACAGACAACAGCGAGCGACAACGAGAAAAACAAACTATTCCTGGATCTATAAACATAAGAGCGACAGACTAAAAAATACATTACTCCAAGATCTTTTCAGACTAGAGCGAGTTTCAAAGGTTATAGGTAAAGTGATGCTTTGACTTGCACTACTTATAAGTACCAAATTTGATCTTGTTAGATTTTATAGGAATGAGGAATATGACTTCAGGAAGCTTGACGCTTAAAAGGAATAAGGAATATGGTTTCTGGAAGTTTGAAAACAGACTAAGAAAATAATTCCATTTCCTCAGCCACTTAAGATATTAATAGGTATTAGACTAGCATTTTAACTGAAAACAGAACTAATAGTGCCATCAAAGGGAAAAATACACTGTAAAAAAGAAAAATTTTAGTAACTCGAACTTATACGGGATATTTTGAGGCGTGATAGTCATTATGGAGTAATTAGCTAATAATTTTACTCTTATTCTTGAGTAGGTGTTATTAAAATTTCTATTTGTTATAGATGAGTTGTTCAGTGTACTCATTATCATCAACGTATGCATTTTCTCGGTAATATAGGAAGTATTTCTGACTCAAAAAATGATTGAGTCAATATTATGAGTAAATAGAACGTGACTCACAACAAATATCCTGATCAAAATAGCTCTCACTTACTTTTATGACAAATGCATCATTGCAATACATTTTATAAATGTCTTATCATCAACGTGAGCATTTTTCTCAGTAATAGGAAGTATTTTTTATTCAAAAAGTGATTAAATCAATCACTTCTACTCAATATTATAAGTCGCTGAAACGTGACGTACAAATCGCTACTTTCTTGAGTAAAATAGTTCTCACGCACTTTTATGAGAAATAGATCATTGCAATACATTCATTGCCTGTCCTAGAAATGATCTAAGTTTGTATAGAATATAATGGATTGCAATGTTATTTGAAAGAATATTCTCAACGATCATAGATAGGACACCAAACTGACCAAAGTATTGACTTTTCAGTTTTCACGCAATGTGAATATTTTTACAGTGTTAATGGTCTGCGGTATAATGAATTTTAAAGCATTTTATGCGGCTACATCATCATCGTTTGCAAATTTGAAAGCTCTTTTTAAAAATCTAATGTGTTTATTATTACGGTATATTTGGCTACTTAAAGAATGTATAGTCTCTTAATTTACAAAGCTTGTGATATTTGAGGCACAGTGCACCCTACTATGAGATCTGCGGTACAGCTGTTGATTGTTGACTTTTAAATCAATGGCTCGTTTTTGTTGATTATAACGGTATATGTGGCTACTTGAAGAATGTATAGTCTCTTAATTTACAAAGCTTGTGATATTTGAAGCACAGTGCACCCTACTATGAGATCTGCGGTACAGCTGTTGATTGTTGACTTTTCAATCAATGGCTCGTTTTTGTTGATTATAAACAGGTTTTTGAAGCATATAAAAGCGGTATGTAAAAATTGATTGTATTTAGCAAAATACATACTACATACAATTTATATTGCCTAAATTTAAGCGCCATGTTCTTTTTCAAACTTGATTTACCATCTCAAATTTTTTAAATTTTGGATTGTAATACGCATGCTCAAATTTCAAGTGTACCGTGCCTTATGGCACTGCCGATTACCAAGCTTTAATTTCTGTCTTTACATACGCATTCTATTTTAAGGGTAATATTGTAATCAATGAGACGAATTTTGGATTATTATAAAGCTTGGCAATATTGTTTGTTTTTATTGTATTACTATGTGTAGTTTGAAGAAACACACCCTCTCACCACCCAAATAAGCCGAAAAGCTAGTTCACCTTTCAATAATGCTAAAAAAACATGTCAAACTATACAAATGCATGAGTCATCATTATTTTAGCAGTTCATTTCATAAGCTTCTTTCAACATCAATCAATTTACATACTTCACATCTTCTTATTAAACAATTCAAACGTCAATTGACTTACGCAAATTAGATGATGCACGCGTTAATTGATCACAAGCCGATGGATTTGATGAACATAACTGCTCAAAACATAAACATACAAAGAGATAAAAAGCATATAAAGGACTACATTATTTCGGGCAAGAATTGTCTTTCAGAAATTAAATCAAACGAAAGGTTGATTTTTGTGATACAAATTTATTATGTAAAAATCCCGACGACTGTTGAACAACTAGAAAAACGTGTGTCTGAACAGTTATGTAAGACAAAAGTTTTAACCCTGAAATTGTAGTCAAAAAGAAATCGCTATTGGTTTGGACTGCAGAGGTTAAATTCTCACCAGTCGTACTTCTTCTAAAGTTGTTTAAATTGTAAATATAATTACTATATCTAAGAATAAGCAGTTGTAGTTTGGAATTAGATTTAGAAATAGTGGGGCAGTTGCCATGGAGATTTTAAATAGTACAGTACAAACGAAATAATATAAAAAGCATAAATCACACAAATATAACAGGTAAAAGTTCAAAACTCGTTCTTCACACGCACTCTTTCTACGCATTGCACTGTATTAAAATTGTTATGACATTAATGTTCTCTTTGATATAAAGCAGAACAACTTAACGTTATGTAAGTCTATTTAGAGCACAATAAGTATGTGTGATCACACAAGTTGTAAAAACCCAAGCAAATTTATTCTGTGGCTATGATGTCATCAAATCAAAAGTTGCTAACTATAAACTTGTCATTAACAACAAGTCTACAAACCCTCCAGCTAAAGAGGAACAATTCTTCTTTAATAAAATAGAGACTTGTCGTGGTGACAAATCTAACAATCAAAAACACCATTGTAATATCAAAAACAATAACTTGATAGTTCTTAAAGTAACTGTTTATATTGTTTTGTTAGTGATCTGGTTTTAAACAGTTTTATTAAGAGTTATTTTGTTATGGTTTTTGCAATTCATAAGGTATTTACGATTTTCAAAACAATTTACTGTTCTTTTTATGACCTTAAAGGAGTTACGATGACTGCAAGGAGGTTGAGGTGGTCATTGAAAGATCGTTAGATTGAACATAACATCTACTTTGGACTTTCATGATAAAATAAGAAAAAAACAATGTCTGTCATTTTTCTTAAAAAGTAATAATCCTATTTAATCTTCCTTATAGCTACCGACACAAAATTTATTTAACGTACTTCCTGCATAAAGAGGAAGTACATAACAGCGAAGAAAGATGCTGAAACTCCAACTGTTTCATCATTGACGCACAAACAAGAAAAGCCAATTTGTTGCGGTCAAGTTCATCGTTGCGGTCTAACGAGTTCAATCAAAGCCCTCAGGTAAAATAGGGTCGAGGAGAACGTCAACACAAGGTACTTAACTGCGAAGGTAGCTGATTGAAGCATTTACACTTGTGTTGCCAGAAACCCTCGCCTGTTGTCGCACCTCCTTTATTACATACAGGCTGTTGTAAATGAATCCTAAAATAGGTTTAAAGTCACGTGCTAAAGCCAACGTAATATTCATTTTTATTTATATTTTTGGCTGTGCCAAATCATAGAATTTCAATTTAAAGCCCAAAAAAAGGAGACCCTTAGATGTAGGGAAAAGCATTCATTCTTGCCAACATCTTTCCTTCCTACTTGAGAGATTCAATATATCCATTGATAGATACAATTTTGTGACAATGCGCACTCCTCGTTATTCATTTACTTTCAACGTCCATGTGGAAAAATGTCTACATCTTTAATCAAGTAAAATCGTTGTTATTAGATCCTTTGTGTGTATTTGAAACGCTCTCCAATCACCGTGTTATATCATTACCAAGTCAACTACTGTACTGTAAAATTTTTACAAAAGCTGTGATCTTCTTGGACACAACATCGTTTAAATGATTGCACCATGTTAAAGAAGTTTGCATGCAAGAAACAAAATGTATTTTAATCTTTCTCTTTCAAAGTATACTAGTCTAAAACTACATATGACGTCACCAAAGATAACTTAAATCAGTTGCTTGAAATTGGATTGAAGTATAAACGCAGCATTGCAATAAAAGCAGCATTGATAATACCAACAGTAAATAGTAATTGAAATATTGACTACATAAAATAGCTGTTCTGCTCCCAACTCAATCTGGAGAAGCCAGGTCATATTTTACTAATAAAATGCAACTATTTGTGTCCATTCGTAGGAAAAGCGACGAATGGAATAAATTTTTCAAAGAAATTAACAATAATTTGGCTGAAAATTTTCAATGTACGAAAAAACGTTATTCCTGACTTTGTCACTGATCACGTGTGGACAAATTAGATTTACTTTCTTTCGGTAGGACATCCACTATCGCCGTAGGTTTTACTCACGCTTGCACGTCGTGGACGGTGTGCTTGCACCTCACAGGTGGAGCGTTAGGTAATTCTAAAGTTGGCAGGCACGTCCATTATGATTGCAGACGCGCAGGTTTTGGCGAAGAGCTTATAATATTAAAAGATAAATTCTGCTAATAACTGATAATTTGACTCTACCCTTCCTGATAAGTGCAATTATCTTTAATAAGTAATATTATTGGTGATAGTAAAATGGATAGTAAAAGGCGATGGCAACATTTCTGCATGCTGTAAATCATTGCTATTAAAAACGATTCATTAAAAACAAGTAAAATGCTTTGATTATAACAACATCATGAATTATTACCAATGAAGGTTTAACATCATGAATTACTACCAATAGAAATTTTTTATAGATATAGTTTAAAATAAAGTATGGTAAGATAAAGTAAATCCACCACCGGATACCAAGACAAAAGCCAAATTTTTTGGATCTAATTCACTGATTTCAAAAACTAATTAAAGACTTTTCAATGAAAACTAGATAGCATATTATATTCCTAATTCTTTGACTTATCATGATATTATAGACAACAGTTCTAATGTGAGGGCCTCTTGGTTGCAAACAATGATGTTGAAGTATAAGCAATTTAGTATTTTTCCATTGAACATAACATTCAAATTGACATTGGACTGAAGCAAATGTTTCTTCATTCTGAAATTTTTGAGGTTTTTGGGAAGTGTAGTTTAAACAACCTTTGACGTAACATTGCATGATGGCAACTTGGTATGTTTTTGATATTTCTTTTCACGGGCAAAGTTTTCTTCCATGTGAAGAGAAAAACTATAAAATTCTATAAAAGAATAAAATGCAGAAAGAAATTAACGCATACATCAACCCTCGTTACCGCAGTCGGCAGCGTGTCAGTCTTATAATCTGAAATTAAACTATCTGAAGGTCGTGAGTTCGATCCTCACACGAGGAATGTTGCACAGCTTTTGTTCCACCGATAACAGGTTCGGTCCCTCTTTGCTAGAAGGAAGATGAAAAGCTGTCATTGCTTTTTTCCAATGATTTAGAGTCCTCCATACGTCGAACCACTATTTGAAGGTGAGGCAAAGGATGTCATCTTGAAAAGTGGCAAAAAGCAAAACACAAAATGAAAAATATGCTGAAAGAAGGTTTAAAAAACCAGTCCTATAAAACATTTCCAAAATGAAACCTAGATTATCAACTTTGCAACAGTATATTAATTTAAGACAAGCAAGCATTAGTAATAAATATCATCAGTTTTTGCCACCTTTCAAGATGGCGGCTTGCCTCACTTGCAATTACAGAAGTTTGGCGAAGTCAGATATGTAGTAGATTGGGTACTAGGTCATTGGTTTTATCATGATTTTGCCTTCTACTTTCACGAGTGTGTTTTTCATCATATTTTGAAAAATCGTTTAGTCTCAGACCCACTCATGTTAAAAAATTTAAATAGCCAAGAAATAAAAATTTCTCTGCTGTGCATTAAATATGATTATTTTTTTTCACTGAACACAACAATAAAAAAGGCAGTGTAATTATGCATACGTCTTTTCATAATTGGTATTTGAGGTTTTTGTCAAGTTTAATTTACACCACCCGTGATGTCACATCGTATATGACGTTACAACTTGGTATATTTTATGATTTGTTACTTTGCTCAACAATATATTTCCTTATTTCTGAGAGGTGGAAGGTATAGAATTATTTTTAAGCATTTTATTTGGAAATCTTTGCATTCATCAAGTCTAATTAGCGCACTAGCCAGTAGACAGCGTGTATAAGTCCCATAATCTGACATCATCAATCTATCTGAAAGTCAAATGTTCAACTCTCACACGAGGCGGTAGTTTCTACATTTTTTTTTACAACCTCATGTTGTTGGACCTCTGTCTCTTTGTATAAACCTCGCCCTCCGGGCTCGGTCTGTACAAAAATACCTTGGTACGTAAAAACCTCGAGCTCGGTTATTAAGGGCTTAATAATAACAAAAGTTGTTTAAGTATTGGAAAATAAACGTTGAAATATAATCGTCATCGATATTTAATACTATTTGTACAATTTGTTATTCTTTTCATTCGTCAGTAATCTAGTTTTTAAAACTTCGACCAAATACATTTCTTGAATTTATGGTAAATCAGTAATAAAGTAAATGGTTTGAACTCGAGAGTATCGTTACACGTTTGTAGATGTAAATCGTCTATGTTGTTAGAGTCCTGAAAAGTACTGTTGTTGTTGATGGTGACTGACGTTTTATGACTTTACTAGTAGTCATCTTCAGTGGGAATCTCATCAAAAAAAAATTATAGCAGCAAAATTCAAGTTGCTTTTTAACAACGCAATTAGTCATAAATTTCTAAAAAGTGAAATCACAACAATAAATGGGTTATAGTTATTCGTCTCGCCTAAAACTGGATCCACTACTTTTAAAAAGCGAATGAAAAATGCAAAACGTAGCAAAATTGATCTTCAAAAGTCTTTCTTCATATGACATCATTAAAGGTAGTTGAAATGACTGTTGCTTAAAATTGGTCCAAAAAATAATCAAACTCGAAAGATTCATTTAAACCAAACAAATTTTGAGACATGTTAAAAAAACTAACTAGTGAATGCAGAAGGCAAAATCAGGACAAAACGGAAGGTTAGCTAGCTCTGCATCATTTTCCTTTGAGAAAGGTGCGTGAGACTGTTGTTTGTAAAAGAAACCAATAAATCATTGCCTCGTGTGAGGGTCGAACTCATAGATAACTCATAGATAGCATAATAAGAAATCATAGATAGCTCTATGATTTCTTATTATGAGACGACGCGCTGCCTATTGTGCTAACGAGGCATTTACAAGTGCTTTCAAAACTTACACGCACACTAGGAAATTTTGTCGATCGCACTTGTCACGAATAACAAGTACGCGCGGCAAGTTCACCAGTGTGCGGCGGGCTTGAGTTTACTTAACTGCTGATGGAAATTTTTACATCAAATAAAAGCCCGCCAAAGTACTCATTCACAAATTGATGAATCATCACGCAGTATTAGAAATCGTCAACATGATCAGCAAGATATCATAATTTTGAAATTTATTTATTGCCTACTCGAAATGCAAGAGTATGAAGTGGAACAAATCAGAACTGAAGTCGTTTGAAAGATTTTTCTTTTTGCATCGAATGCGTGGGAAGGCAGTAAATCAACTAGTTAGCTCCAAGCAAAAAGTATCACCACTAAATGCATTTCCCCACTTTCAAAACAAAGTAGAAAAACATACCAACAACACCTCTATACAAACAAGCACACATACAGAGCGCAAATTTTACCAAAAGGGCGACAGATGCATATAGTGATCAAGACTTAAAGCATTCACTATCTCGATTTATAAAATAAAAAATAAAGCTTGTGTCATGAAATATAAACTGAAATGCCAACTCCGATATACTGGCGCTATGAGCCATTTTCAAGCACCTTATAAGCCTAAAATGTATCTATATCTCACTTTTGTTATATAACCTATTATGACAATTTGTGATTTATGTATGCTGTTTTTATTTTTTGAAATTATGTGATGCAATTTCAGAATAATACAATGCAATTTAAATTCTAAATATAAGACCATAAACTAATATCACGTAACACTCAAAAATCTACTTTTTTAATTTGCTTCAATGATGGCAGTGAGGTTATAGCGTTCCAGTATAATTTACAGTTTACAGAAATGTAAAAGAGCAAACGCAGTTTTATATGACGTATACAACCGCTATGTTTGAATATTGTTATAAATAACAAAATTAAGTGCTGATATACACCATGCAAATAAGCAGGAAGATTTTATCCCTTGACATCACATTTCCTGTAAGAAAGTGAGAAAGAGTGGGAGGAAAGGAAACAAGAAACATTTTTACATGTGGGAGAATTTCTTAAATCACCGCATATGTTGTTTTATGAAAATTTATATTCACCTTTTTTGTAAGTATGAGTACATTTTAGTCCCCTCTGTTTACTCATATAAAACAAGAAAGTACTTTTGCGTTTATTATACGGGGGAAACGGGCTTAATGCTTGTCTACATAGAAGAACGAGTCGAGAAACTGGACGCGAAAAAATATTTGCAGACAGCAAAAAGATTTTCAAAGATCAGAGGTAAAGTCTTTTTTAGATTTGTGCTATTCTTATAAACACACCCAAACGATCGTTCAAAACTTCAGTCTTGGTAAATATATACAGGAATGAAGAATATGATTTCAGGATGCTTGGCGCTTGGACGGAACAAGGAATATGGTTTCAGGAAGTTTAAGAAAATAACTTACTAAAAAATAATTAACTTTCATCAGCCACTTAGGATATTAGACTAATATTTTTGGTTTTAATGCTCCATTTTTGGAGTGCAGATAAATTATCTTGCTTACGGATCTCGTTTCATATGTTTTCTTAGCTGTAAAAAGGACTAATAATATCATCAAAGGAAAAGCTACGCCGTAATGAAAGCATGCATGTGTAAATGTTGTCAAAATTTAGTAACTCGGACTAATACCCGAGTTTTTGAGTACGTTATAACTAATACTCATTATGGAGTAATTAATAATTTTATTCTTATTCTTGAGTAGGTGTTACTCAAAATTTCTATTTGTCATCGATGAGTTATTTGGTGTACTCATTATCTTCAACGTATGCATTTTTTCTCGGTAATATAGGAAGTATTCTTACTCAAAAAATGATTAAGTCAATCACTTCTACTCAATATTTTGAGTAGGTAAAATGTGACGCACAACTAGCTACTTTCCTGAGTAAAATAGGTCTCACGCACATTTATGAGAAATAGATCATTGCAATACAATCATTGCCTGTCCTAGAAATGATCTAAGTTTGTATAGAATATAAT